AGTGTTTACGGAGGATGCCAGGGTTGAGGAGCCCTGAGATCATCCCCCTTTACGATGTGTTGTCCTCGCACATGAGGGCTGTCTTTCAACATTCGTGTTTCTTTCACTTTCTTTCTTTCATATTTCATAAATTGGATGGAGATGCTTAAACATTTGAACCTAACATAAAGGACGAACACTGAAACACACAACACGTACATACAATAACATACATACAAACATACACACAACACGTACATACAATAACATACATACAAACATACACACAACACGTACATACAAGAACATACATACAAACATACACACAACACGTACATACAATAACATATATACAAACATACACACAACACGTACATACAATAACATACATACAAACATCAACAAGAAGCCGGCATACGATAACATACATACAAACATACACACAACACGGACATACAATAACATATATACAAACACACACACATATATATATACATTCATAGACACAAAACATATAACATAAATACCAAATTTGCATACAAACATACATTTGAAAACATGAGACAATACTAACATAAATAAGTGTAAAATATGTGCAAAAGTTGTCTATTCTCCGGTTGTGTTATATAGAAGGAATACTGTTAAGTAGGTCATTGTATACCTTTTATATCAATGAAATGATCTCTGTAGATATTTGAGTGTGTACAAGGCATAATTATGAATAAAAACATTCACTGTTATTGTGCATATAGTATGGCATATTGTCATGGTGTCTCCATCAGTGGAGACCATTTTCTCCAATATCCTAGAAACCTTTCTGACTCATATTTACTGTTTGAAGTGTGTTTTTGTACTTTGTATGTTTCCTTAATTTCATTGAGAAGTGCTTATATAGATAATGTATTTTTAATTATTTATTTGTTTTATCGATATAATATTGAATTACCAAGTTTATTAAATTGTCCACTTCAGCATCTGGTTCGTCTGCACAAATTATACCAAAAATAAAGTGTTTTTTATTCAATGTGTAGTTGATATGAAAAATTTGGGTTAACCACTCAAAAATATGAAACAATCTTTTACCTTCTTGGCAGTCCCATAGAACGTGCTCAATAGTTTCTCGATTTGTTTTACAGATTTTTCAAGCATTTTCAAAGATATGTAACATAGCATATGAAAACACACGCACCACTTATTCACGCCATTCATCATCATCATCAGCATCCTCATCATCCTCATCCTCATCCTCATCCTCATCATCATCATCATCATCATCTTTCTAACATCATTCTCATCCTCATCTAACCATTCATCATCATCATCATCATCATCAGCATCATCAGCATCATCTTCACACCAATTTAACACCATCTCACCATTCATCATCATTAGAATTAACTCTGCATAATCAAATCATGACTTAAATACATAATCATTACTATATTATTATCAGCATCTTCATCACTGTACATCATCATCTTATTCTCAACATTAATCATCATCATCATCATCATCATTACCATTATGATGTGCACACTCACAATCACAAGCACAGAGAGAGAGAGAGAGAGAGAGAGAGAGAGAGAGAGAGAGATGGGAGGGTATAATGGGGTTGGTTGTAGAATGTGTTTTTTTTTAGATTAATAATTATGTTATTGGTACTTACAGTACACAATTACTCGGCTCTGCCAATGACTTTAAGTGGTTCTAAACAGTGAAATAAAAACTCTCGTGAGGATGATGTAATAAAATGTAAGCATCATAGATTTAACTATTGTACTAATATCAACCCGGTAGAGCCCGGCACATTCGGAATACCCTTTCCGTCATTTTCTACAAAACTGATAGGTAGCATAGGCGAGGTGTTCCGAATGAGCCCGGCACTGTCTGGGAGAACCTGGCGGGTACAGAACCCGACAGAAAAAAACGCGGTTAGGCCTATGATATACATGACTTTCGTCAATGGTCCGTTGGGGTGAAGGTCGTTTCGGTAACAAGATGGAAGATACAAACATTAAATCCGATCTAAACCAATTTCACAATAGTATCATCAGGGACACAAACAGTACCACTGAGGAAATTTGGCAAGTGTTCAAAAGAACGATTCATGACTGTATTAATAAGTATATTCCACAAAAAATAGCAAGTTCAAAAGATGGTTACCCATGGATCACCCCGGAAATAAGGCGGTTATTACATAAGAGAGACCGTATGTACCAAAAAAAAAAATCAAAAAAATCAGGACATCCAGACATCAAATCCAAATTTCAATCTTAAATAGACAATTTCAATCTGTCTTCTCGAAACCAAGTAATACATCACATGAACAATTCCAGCAAGAATTTAATATGCCTCATAATGACTACACGGTCCTGAATGACATCGTGATTAATAATGAAGGTGTTAAATTTTTTACTCAAAACCCTAAAAAGCTGATAATATAAACCCCAAATTCCTAAAGGAAATGGCTAATGAAATCTCACCTATCCTTACATTATTATTTAATCGTTCACTAGAAACTGGTGCTATACCATCTGACTGGAAAATGGCCCATGTATCACCAATTTATAAAAAAGGCACCAAGTACGCTCCAGAAAGTTACAGGCCCATCTCATAACTTGTATATGCAGTAAACTCTAAGAGTATATAGTAGTAAGTAACATCATGTCACATGCTGATCGTAATAATATTCTATATCCCTTCCTATACGGCTTCAGACAGTCACGATCATGCGAAACACAACTTACAGAATTTATTGAAGATATGATTTTTTTTTTTATTGAAAACCACAAACAGACGGATGTCCTCATTTTAGATTTTTCAAAGGCCTTCGATAAAGTCAGCCATAACCTATGTATGTACATAAACTTCTTCACTTTGGGATCAGGGGGAAAGTAAACACGTGGATTAAAAACTTCTTAACCAATAGGACACAAGCAGTCGTACTCGAAGGCGAACTATCTCCAAATGTACCAGTCGAGTCGGGTCCCCTAGGGGTCTGTCCTCGGCCCGAGTTTATTTTTGTACTATATTAATGATTTGCCCCTGGGTCTCTCCTGCTCGGTCAGATTGTTTGCTGACGATATAATTTTATACAAAACTGTCACCTACAGTGAGGATGCCACAATACTGCAGAGGGATTTAAATAAGCTCGCAGTTTGGGGGAAAAGGTGGAAAATGGAATTCCACCCTTAAAAATGTAACATTTTATCCATCTTGAAAAATAAAAATTCAGTAAATTATAACTATTTTCTTCAAGGTCATTGTCTAGAGCATACTGATAAAGCGAAATATTTGGGTGTTACATTGAAAAAAGATTTGAAATGGGATTCTCACATTACTAAAACTAACTAGTAAAGCTAACAAGACTCTTGGCTTCATTCGGCTTAACCTAAAAAATAATTATAAAACAATAAAGGAACAAGCATACACATCTCTAGTGCGTCCGACTTTGACATATGCTTGTACCGTGTGGGACTCATACAAAAAAGGGGACTTACATACATTGGACATGGTTCAGGCTAGGGCTGCGCGGCTTGTCACTAACAGATACCATAACACATTCAGTATTAGTGGCATGCTCGACGATCTAAACATGGCCAAGCCTCGCTGATAGGCGTAAGGATGCCCGCCTAACCATGATATATATGAAATCATTTCTAATACTGTAGCCATTACATAAGAAAAATACCTGACAAAACAGTTGCGACAGACACGACACTCTCACTCTTTCGCCTATCTCACTCCACATTGTAGAACAGACTGCCGCAAATACTCTTTTTTCCGGAACTATCCCAGACAGGGACAAACCTCCCACCAGACCTGGTCTCATCTGGAACTTTGGAAACCTTTAAAAGTCGTCTCTCCTCTCTACAGAATTAGCTCTATTCCAACTCTCTTTTCCTGTACGATCTTCAATAGGATGAAGTAGGTCGATTATCAGGTAGAAGTAGAGGTAGAAGTCGTTTCGGGACTTTGTTCGGGTCGTTTCGGGACATCTCGATTATTTTCTACCGTTTGTTTGTTACCGAAACAACTAGCATTCCTAATGTGATCATTTAGGCATTGAACTGCTTTCAGTCGGCATTCATATGAAGACAAATCCAACATGAAGCGCAAGTGCCCTTCATTGAACTTGCCTTTCTCCAGTTGGAATTCATTTTTCCTATGAATGCCAACTGAAAGCAGTTCAATACGTTTATTTATCACATACCTGTTGAATCTTGTCATAGTAATACAAGCAATGTTCAGACCATGAAATACAACGTTCTGTGTTGCACATCATATGTGCAAAACGGAATGTTGTATTTACCTACCAGCTGGAACTACTTTTTATGGGAATCCCCTTGTCATGGCGAACTGAAAAGTTTCCAGTATTTGCAAAAAAATATCAGAGTTTATAAATCTTTGTATCGATCTCTACCAAATACGGAAAGTATGTGATACACACAAGATCACACACTTGTGTTTTTCTAACGAATCAGAAAGCACTCATTTATTGTGCGGACGTGTATATTTATCCGCGCAATAAACTCGTGCTTTCTGATTCGTTAGAAAAACACAAGTGTGTGGTCTTGTATATTTACCATTTTTGGAATCTGTTCATCTCATAGAAAACTCAATTACATTTATGATTATTCAACATTCAGTAAAAATAATGTATGTATCGTGTATGATTGTTCAATGAATAGAACAGACATCGCCCAGGGAGGGTCAGTGGTATCCAACGTAACAAATATGACGTCATAATCATGATGACGTCAACAATAGGTCCATGGCATTCATAGCCTATATGAATGCCAACTGATTTTGTTAGGGTTATATAGTGGCAATGCCATACGATGGTAACTATTGTAAATAGTATCTTCAAATTTTCCCTATTAAAATGACATAGCTTAAAGGTTCATGTCAAAACCAATTTTGGATACATGTAACGGCCTAAACAACCAGCCCAATATTTATCCGTCATTTTTTCCGCTTTTTAGCTCACATCATTTGTAAAGCGCATTGAAGACCACGCTGCGTGATCATGATGACACCTAGCTATAGGCCTGAGGCTAACCGCGAGCGATGATGTCAACAGTCGGTGCTGTGATCAACACATCACTGTTTCTACAGAAGCAAGACCGACCGATCAAAAGACGATTGTGTCGGTTTTGTGGGGTTTTAAAGCTTATGACTTGAGAAAATGTTTTAATAGCCGGTGATTACGGACGGTTGACGAATGTTGCATAATTTGAACCTTGTCAACAACTGTACTTGGATCAGACCTATCCAAACGCGATGGGGTAAATATATCTTTAATGCTTACATGAGATCAGTCAGGAAAACGCATTCTATTGAAGTGAGCCTAGTTTACCTGTTAATGCAGTTGAATTGATTTATTATTCAGTACCCCAAAAAATAAATATATATACATGTATAAATTACAAATGCCCATTTAACCATTAATTACCAAGGCAAATCGTTATCTATTCGCTGGATTGGTTAATATATTAGTAAAGTAATATTCGAATACTGGTCAGTACAGTTGACATCATAGCTGTTTAATCAGTTCAATTCGTTGGGAGATTTCATGAAAAATGGAAATTCAACTTTAGGACATATGTCAAATCACAGAATGGAAAAAAAATGAAACTGAACTTGTTGGTTTACTGTTGTAGTTTGCTGTATCCCCAGAAGAGGCTCTTTCTGCTGTTCGTTGTCTTGAGCGTTGTTGTGACTGTGGTACTCCTGTTCATGTTCAGCTACATCGAGCCCACTGATCATGATGCGACAGTACCAGTCGCGGAGAACACTGGACATTCTAGGAGAAAAAGGATAGCCGTCTCTTTCTGGGGTCGAACAGGAAACCACATCTTTGAGTATGCAGCTTTAATTGGAACGGCAGATCGCAATAACATGACACCAGTCATAGTAGAAAACACTGATCTAGTCGACTTATTTGATTTTCAAATTCCAAAGTTAACCGTTCAAAACCCTACAAGGGAGTTTGAAGTTGTGAATGAAAGACTAGCAGGTGCTTACAATCCAGAGGTCGAAAAATTAAAGGATTTGAATAAGGATGTATACCTCAAAGGTTATCTCCAATCTTGGAAATATTTTCATCCTTTTGAAAAAAAGTTGAAACAAAAATATTTTAAATTTAAAGACAATTTACTGAGAGAGGCAGATGAATTTTTAAATCAAGCAAGAACACATTTACGAAAATCCAAGAACTCTTTATACATAGGTGTGCATATACGACGAGGAGATTTTGTACGGGCAAAGAGTCGAGGCTATGGTGCAGTTCCAGTGCCCTATTTTTACAGGGCTATGAATTATTATCTGAAAAAGTACAAAGATGTCATTTTTGTGGTGTGCAGCAATGGATTGACCTGGTGTAAGGACAACTTGGACTCAGACTTTTACCCAATCCAGTATTCCACCCTAGGAGACAGTGGTGCTGATCTTGCCTTACTTTCACGTTGCAACCATTCAATTATTTCTGTGGGGTCGTTTTCCTGGTGGTCAGGTTATTTGGCTGGTGGAGAAGTCGTTTATCCGGTCGATGCCTTCCCTGTCCCTAACACCAGCATAGGGGACAGTTATGTAAGAGCCGACTATTTCCTTCCGGGGTGGACACGGTTATGATGTGACCAGTGGTCAGTCACTTTGGAAGATGTGTGTTAATATAGGGAGCGATATTTGTCATCGTGTAATTGTTACCGGGCCAGAAACAACGCTAACAACCCAGTTGGTTCAAATTTGTGGTCCTTTATTTTAGGGCTTAACCCGAGCAAAAAACCCTAAAATACAAATACAAATAAACAGTTACACACGGTTACACACAGCCACTCACATACCTACATATATACCTAGGGTTTTTTGCTCGGGTTAAGCCCTAAAATACAAATACAAATAAACAGTTACACACGGTTACACACAGCCACTCACATACCTACATATATACCAAGGGAAATAACTCCTACTCGGTAAACTTACAAGTTTACTCTATTTCTATAAAATCCTTATATTTTCACGTAACGTTTATATATAATATAAATGTTACCATATTCCTTACATATATTATTAGATACGTTTCACAGAACTTGACAGAAGATAGTTATCTTTCATTATTGAATAAATAATAATGATACAGCATATGGTAATTTACACAGAACTGTCTCTATACATTCTCACTATTGAATACATATATATACATGTACTTCTATACCTTTTTGTAGTACAAATAAATAAATTATAATCTTAAGATGAAACCTATAGAGTACATACCCTGCATAATTGGGCAAGGGTTTTAGTGCCATTCCCATTCTCACTTTTCTAACACTTTAATATAAGCTAAATGAAAGAATAAGGTAACTATTAAACTCATTGTAAAATGACATTTACCAATAACCTATACATTAGTTATTTTTGAGTCTCAATATTTTACTGAACAATATTGACTGGCGACCTTCAATGTCTTTGAAATAATTTAAATATTCACATGGCTATTTTGTAACAAAAATACCATACTTATCCTTAATTTAAATATTGATAATATCTATACTTTACATTAACTGCATAAAGCTTGCTGCAATAACAGGATGGTTACTTGTAAATAATCACTACAAATTAGAATAAAATATCAAGCCTTGGAATGACTTACCGGTTAATGTCCTGACTGTGGAGTCCAGCACACGTGCCCACCTGAATGACTATCCAGGTACATGCATTCCCTAGCCTACCCTGATCTTAGCACACATCCTATTTTGATTGGACAGTCACAGACCAATCAAATGTCATTCTGTCTGTCAGGTGTCATAACAAGTACAGTGCTCACAGGTACAGGTAACACACAAACCTTAAGGATGCATTCTCCTTCATGTCCATGGTACTATTATATTGGTACACCAGTAAAAGTATTTAAACAATATATATACATTTAATTGATATAAGCACACACTATACATGTACATAACACATGATTACTAAACAATATCATACTGCCACATAATTATAATGTATGATATATATATATAGGATCTTAAAAGAGTGTTCATTTCATATGAGATTTTATTAAATGAGTCTTAGGGAGTTTTTATTTTTGCGAGCCTTCAGTAGATACCACCTGTACAGGTAAATACTGAAGCAACTTTAGAATTGAAAACGTCCATATAAACTAAGACAATGAACAATTTTGATACAACTTTTTTTCACATATAACAAATATTTTCCAAGTTATGCACATTTGAAAAATCAAGTAAATTAATTTAAATTTCAATAATTAATTCAGCAGTGGTGTCCCTTTACATAGAAATCAATGTAGCAGCCTAAGGGTTAACATTTTTCATGATATTACTTGATTGGTTGAAAACGTTAGATCACAGGTTTATTTAAAGTAGAGAGTCCCACCACTTTTGTTACTGAATACAGGACTTATCAAGAAAGCTACCAAGGGCATCATATCCCCCCCAACTCCCGAAAACTTCATGTGCAGGATTTGCTATCAATCCATCATAGATTTGTGTTTGAAAAAGGGGGGAAACTCGACACGCACAAATCTGTACAAATTGTTTTATAATACATGTAATCCTATGTGGACGTGCTATCCATTCTCTGTATACAAAATTAAAGATTCTGTAGGATCATCCATTTACACAGACCAGTGTGTAAATCCATATCCAGGGTTACCCATACACCAAATTTGAACTTTGTATGACAATTCGTTTAGCAGAATTCTATTTTTAGCAACAGTGACCTTGACCTCTGGCAGACCATGTTGGGCAACATACACATCAAGTTGAACTTTGTATAATTATCATTCATTCTCAAATTAGCATGACATGCTCAACCAAGGAAAATCCTATACCTTGACCTTAGGTTGAAGTTTAAAAAAAAACAAACCCTGCTTAATCCATGCTTTTTCCTATTGATAATAATGTGTTGCAGGCCTCTTATTGGAGTTTCAGCAGTTTGAAATATTACCTATTAATATTGCAGAAAAATATACCCTATTTATACTGGAGTAATCTCATAGCAAGTAGTTAGCACAGTGGTTAAATACCCTGTATGCTTGTAACCAAGATGTTTGTGTGAGAAAGTAAATGAGTAAATATGTTTCTGTAGTACATGTTTATAAACAATACCTAACAAATTGGAACTCTTCTTTGTTGGAGAAAAAACAGTGTGCTGGGACTCTCTAACTTAACGTATATACAGATGTAGAGGAGCTTTTCAGCATTCCATATTGGCACCCTACGCTAATACAATACTCAGAACATTTATTATTATTAGCCCAGCCAGGGCCAGTTGTATTGTTGATGGTGTACGTCTGCTCTTGTATTCCATTGTATTACTGCCACAGTAGCCATGTACTGTAACGAAGTTTTGTCTTTGTGTTCACGTTTCTGTTTTGTTAGACATTGTACAATAATAGCTACATAGTTTATGTAATATAATGAAGGTTTGTCCTTGTGCTTTTATGGTATGGTATATTATTTTCTGTTTTACTTTTAGATATTGTACAACAATAGCTACTAAAGTTTATGTAATATAAGTAAGTTTTGTCCTTGTGCCTTTACGTTATGGTATATTATTTTCTGTTTTACTTTTAGATATTGTACAACAATAGCTACAGGTTTTGTATAAATATAAGTTTTGTTCTTGTGCGTTTTTGTTATGGTATATTATTTCCCGTTTTACTTTTAAATATTGTACAACAATAGCTTCAGGTTTTGTATGTCATATAAATATAAGTTTTGTTCTTTCCTGTTTTACCTTTTTCGTGTATTACATATCAATTTGATCAAAGAGTCATATTTACTGTTTAATATTGTATTATTTAACAGATGAAGTCTGTAGTAATTGATTGACTGAAAGACACGTTTACAAAGAAATTGTGCTTGTACACTAGGTGATAATTAGATATTGACGGGTTTACAGGAGTTTCTCATGTTATTAACCCTTTCACCACTGCAGACCAAAATGGACTCACCAAGATAAATGTATGGTAGAGTTTACTAAAGTTACCTAGGGGTGAAAGGGTTAATAACAGCATTAACAGTCCATCACATAATGATTATAGACCTGTGTACTTTTATAAAGTGGTGCAATCAAATCAGAAATATTTTATTTGCATGTTTTGAATTTTCATTTGCTTTAACTCATTCACCCCTGAAGACACATTTGAACTCTTCCAATTCAAAGGCTGGAATAGTCCATTATGAAATTTCAGGGGTGAATGAGTTAATATATATGAAAAGAATGTTATATAAATATACAATTTTAACAATAAGATTTGTGTTTGTTTTGTTTAGGATATAAAAACGAGACCTAAAGGGCCTGTATGCCATCCTTTACAGCTAGCACCATCATGCCTTTAAACTATGCAAATAAATAGCTGTCAAATCTTCATACAATCTATTGCACAGTCCTGTGTATATCTTAAATTTTCATACAGTGTGAGGTCAGATCTTTTGCCTCTCACATTTGAGGAGATACTCGGGCAAGATCGTAGGTGGAGCTGTGAACAGACTATTTACAGAGAAAGTTTTGTTCTCACCGACATCTCAATGTTATTTAAGTTGTGCATTCCTGTTCTTTGGAAATCGTTTGCAAACTATTTTCATTATCCAAATCTATGGCTAACTTAATGAGAAATAAATACAAAATATTTCAAAATTGAAATGAATTCTGTCGAGACAAAAAGATGATTAGAAATGAAAATTTTACAAAATGAAAGCTGACCATGAATTTTTCTGTTTGAAGAAATCAGAGTCAGGGCTGAAAGTTCTGCTTTACAAAAATATAGCTCCTAATAATGAGCACCACAAGACCAACAAGAGTACCGCGGGACGGAACAATATACGCCCTTCAAATGTCATATAGTGTTATATACTTTATTCTAATTTGAAATAAAATCTGCATCATTCTAAGAGTGGTTAGCTGACATGCTATAAAAAATGTAGGAGAAAATCTCTGGACAAAAAATCAAATAATGAAATGAACAAAGGGCAATAACTTTTGCAAAAATCTTCGAATCAAAATTTATTAAAGGGAGACACAACTTCATATCATGATTATAATTTATACCAAGTTTAAAAGAGATCCGTTGAAAAATGTAGGAGGAGATTGCCGGACAAAAATCAAATACTGAAATGAACAAAGGGCAATAACTTTTGCAAAAATCAGCGAATCATAATTCATTTAAGGCAGACTCAACTTAATATCGTGATTATAATGTATATTAAGTTTCAAAGAGATTGGTAGAAATATGTAGGATGAGATTGCCGGACAAACAAAAGTTCACGCCGGACGGACAACCCCATACCATAATACTCCCGTCAAATTTGACAGTCGTATAAAAATAAAAAGACCATACCTAGGAGTTGATGATCAACAGCATATGTGGCAATGATATGGACAGAATAAGAAATGCGTTGGTTCATATTTCATGACAATTTTATTTACACAATTTTGATGTTTAAAATATATCATGTATATTAAACATAAGTAATGTTCTGTTATCATCACCTCCACACACTCACTCTTTCACAAAAACACATTCAAATGATAAATGATACTTTCTGACATGACTACAGTAAAAATATCCCACTTGAGATTGGGGTTTTATTATCCCACTTAAGATGGGTTTCTCAATTTATAAGATTTAATAGGTACTCTGAAAACCAATTTTCACAATTTTCTTACTTTATCACACTTGTTGTCCCAGAAACCCCCCAAATCAAATTGAATTGGAAAAATAATCCTGTACATGCGAACAATAATAAAAATATTTGTTGGATGTGAAAAATAACAGGATGTGAGATAGGAAACGATTGTAAAACTCTACGTTTGTATGTAGTTACAGAGCATTGCTCAATTCTTCATTTAAATTCTTTTTGAAATTTAAGTTTTTTTCCCCAGGGGACACAACTCAGCAAATTTCAGAAAGATATTTTGTTCAAAATTACAAAATCTGAAAAAAACATGTCGAATAGCAAGACTAAAATCACGGCAGTATTTTACCATTTTAACACCAGTGACAGCTTTGAGTTACTACATGGTCAGGTTGACTATGAAGTTCCTGGGACCTTCACAAGCAAGACCAGAAAGTCTAATTTTTAATCATTCAGGCTTAATATATGGTCATCTGGGTTAATGGAGATTCTATGCTTTTTCCTTACACGCACCATATATCCTGCCAGACAGAAAAAACCATGGACTGCTAGGGGCCTATCACAGCTACACAGCAATTACCAAGTAGAATACATCACAATAAATCAAGGTAACGGAGGATCAATTCTCGTATTTTCTTGTATGTTGACCACCACTGAAAAATTCAATTTACTAGATTAACCACACGCTTTCAAAGAGAAGACCAGAGTCCGTTCCATTTTAAAGCACAGACCAGTTGTCTACAACCTTCGATTGTAACATTTCCTGGGATAAATCCCGGCAGACCTACAAATATCTCGTTGAAAACTCTTTGTCAAGGTTCGCCAGTAAACAACATCAGATTGCAACACAAAGGTTCTTCGCTATTTCTTAAACGAACCACTCTGGTCGGCTTGTTATAAGTGGCCCAAATATGCAATAAATGAAATATATATATATATAAATATTTCAGGAGGTAATTTACAACAGGGTCTATGTACCATTATGTACAACAGTGTCAAACATTACATGATTAATAGCCTTTCAAACATAGATGAAAATTGAGAAATTCCACTGGAGGAGTTATGAAGTGAATTGGAGTACGGTAATATTTTATGTTTTCCTTCCAGTTTATAACCCTTATGGTGACATTTCTCTATCTTTGACATACATACAAATGTACATGTATACAAGTCTCTCTCTCTCCCTCATGGTATTTTTTCATGATTTTGATGTCACAATAACAGCCTCACTCACAAAATGCCATAGAAGACTTGACTCCACATATAGGTGACTGCTTTCTACACCAACAGCTCTAATACAACCAAGCTTGTCTGAAGGCCAAGTTAATGGAAGTAAATGACCACAAGCTTACTACCCAGTAGTTACATAAAACAGACATTAATTATTGAAATACACTTCTGGATATATTACACCTTGTAGTGCCTGTGATTTGTGTCAGAGTGACCTTTAATATGACCTATTTTGTGAAAATGTTTACCTTTCTCATTAGGGATGAATTTATCATGAGAGCATGCTAATACACAGCATACCAGATACGGGTCAAAATCAGGCAGAGGGCAAGTTCAACACTGGGGAAGTATTAATTTACCGAAGAAGAGCCCATATGTGTCTGAAGGACTGTTTCCCAGTGTACAGTAACTTGCCTTTAATACAAAGGCATGTATTCCAATATAACATTGCATCATTAACCAAGCCTAAAGCACAGTTCATTTGAAACGTTATAACGGGATCCTCGAGTTCAACTCTTTCAATATGTAGATGTTTTGTACATGTAAATTGAAGCTTGTTATACACAGTATAAACTATTTGTCCACAGTTTCTAAGGTTCGTGATGCATCCTTATACACAAACCATGTCTTTGAATATGAAAAAGTCAATAAAATTCATAGCCTATGTGCGATGTACATTTCTGTTGAGTTCATTGTGAATGACACGACTTGACATACAGACCACTAAGTACATAAAAGTACATCAGATGTCACCGCATTTGTCATTGTAGATTAAAAACTTTTGAAATTGACGCAAACTCAAATATTTGTTCCGTATTTTTTTTTTCTTTCTCCCTAACGTCATATCCAATAATTTATACGAAGCACCACAATCATGAATACGAAGTGTTTCATAGTTATAGTGTTTTATAAACAGGAGACTCCATGTGTTTTTTGCGTATCATAGTTATAGTGTTTTATAAACAGGAGAATCCATGTGTTTTTTACGTATCATAGTTATAGAGTTTTATAAACAGGAGACTCCATGTGTTTTTTACGTATCATAGTTCATATAGTCTCAAATAACTATACAACAAATCTACAATAATGAAATAAATAAAATTTGATAAAGCTACGCATGATCGCTATCAATTCTTCTTGCGTTTGAGATTTTTGTTGAGTTGTTCCTGTTCCTGCCTGTAAGCTTCTATGAGTTGTTGCTCCACGTCGGGCTTCATCGGACAGTAGCGACTGTACTCCATGGTAAACTCTCCTCTTCCTTGGGTCTTGGCTCGAAGCTCAGACATGTAGCCAAACATCTGATTAAGGGGTGTCTAAAAGGAATATTGTCATGTGTTAAAACAAAGTCAAATGTTTTTACCTTTCACAAAATTTAATTCTATTGTCTGTTTATGTAAACCATGAAATTTAACTCTAAAGAAATTAACCGCAGATTCCTCCGCTCCCTCCCCCCCCCCCATCCTCCCTTTTCTTGGCCCACCTAATTCACCAAAATTCAAAACCATTCGTTGAATTTTCAAATTGCTGTTTTTCAAATACTTTCCTGATAATTGTGTTTTTTAAAATAACCTTTATTTATGGTTGCCATAGTAATGAGTTGAAATTGAAACATTTGGGAAAAGTTGGAGTTTGGTTGAAATCCTACGGAAATTCTCGAGAAGAACGAAAAATATCAGAACTTAACAACATGATGGTGTCAAAAAGTAGAGGATGGACAATGAATGGACATTGGATGTTGGGCATGTTGTGTAACCAACCCCATGAAAGTGCCACAAAACAACATGTTCAGATCCTACATCATATATCGACGTTAAGTCAAGGCTGTGTACCTGTGCAAATAGTGACACAAATTCTTCGTTGGCGTCTTGTCCCATCATGATGGAGTCGCGCTTATTGAGACTGGCGTGGACGTCGCCCTGAAACTCGGCAGGAAAATTGACTTCTACCTCCATCACGGGCTCCAACATCTGCCAAGTGCCTACCTCCATCACTGACCAAACAAACAAACAGGTAACGTACAGCGGTTAGTAACAATAAACATTAGATGGGCAGTCAGAATACACAGGTTTTTATATGGTAGCTTTTGTAATGAATTTGGTTGCAGCTGAATATTTGACAGGAGTTAGATTAAACAGAATGTCAGGATACTCAGGAGTCACATTAGACATGATGTCAGACTATTCAGGAGTCACATTAGACAGGATGTCAGGATACTCATGGGTTAGATAAGACATGTCAGATTAGACAGGATACTCATGGGTCAGATTAGACAGGATGACAGTATACTAATGTGTCGGATTAAACAGTATACCAATGGGTCAGATTACACAGTATGACAGTATACTAATGGGTCAGATTAGACATACTCTAGGGTCAGATTAGACAGGATGACAGTATACTCATGGTTCGGATTAGACCAGATGTCATGACACCCATGGGTCTGCTTAGACAGGAAACTCATGGGTCAGATTAGAAAGGATACTCATGGGTCAGATTAGAAAGGATGTCATGATAATCATGGGTCAGATTAGACAGGATGTCAGGACACTCATGGGTCAGAATTTACAGGATACTCATGGGTCAGATTAGACATACTCATGGGTCAGATTAGACAGGATGATAGTATACTCATTGTTCGGATTAGAAAGGATACTCATGGGTCAGATTAGAAAGGATACTCATGGGTCAGATTAGACAGGATGTCATGATAATCATGGGTCAGATTAGACAGGATGACAGGATACTCATGGGTCAGATTGGACAGGTTCCAGTGTACATTGTATCAACCACAACTCCACAGTATCTCTTTTATTGCTTTTTCCTTTTGATAAGTAGTTTTGAAAACACCATGTCTTGCTAGGGCAAGGAGGAGAAATAATAGTTGAGTCAATTTTGTGTCAACTGTCACACATTTTAATTAGAATGTGGCATGTTTAAGATATAGGAATCAAGATGACAACATGTATATAAACAGAACTGTTATCACCGTTTGATAATTCTGGGTTGATTGATTACCTTGCTTCATGGCTGCGTCTCCTGCCTGTTCGAACGCCCAGTCGCTCGAGTCGACCGCGTGAGCCATACCTGGGGTGAAGGAAACGGTGAAAGTTAGAACAGAAAGCCTGAGTTAGAACACAACAGCTGAACCCTCGTACAGAAAGCCTGAGTGTACAAACACAACAGCTGAACCCTCGTACAGAAAGCCTGAGTTAGAACAGCTGAACCCTCGTACATAAAGCCTGAGTGTACAAATACAACAGCTGAACCCTCGTACAGAAAGCCTGAGTGTACAAATACAACAGCTGACCCCTCGTACAGAAAGCCTGAGTGTACAAATAAAACAGCTGAACCCTCGTACAGAAAGCCTGAGTGTACAACTACAACAGCTGAACCCTCGTACAGAAAGGCTGAGTGTACAAATACAACAGCTGACCCCTCGTACAGAAAGCCTGAGTGTACAAATAAAACAGCTGAACCCTCGTACAGAAAGCCTGAGTGTACAACTACAACAGCTGAACCCTCGTACAGAAAGGCTGAGTGTACAAATACAACAGCTGAACCCTCGGACAGAAAGCCTGAGTGTACAAATACAACAGCTGACCCCTCGTACAGAAAGCCTGAGTGTACAAATAAAACAGCTGAACCCTCGTACAGAAAGCCTGAGTGTACAAACACAACAGCTGAACCCTTGTACAGAAAGCCTGAGTTAGAACACAACAGCTAAACCCTCGTACAGAAAGGTTGAGTTAGAACACAACCGCTAAACCCTCGTACAGAAAGCCTGAGTTAGAACACAACAGCTGAACCCTTGTACAGAAAGCCTGAGTTAGAACACAACAGCTGAACCCTCGTACAGAAAGGCTGAGTGTACAAATACAACAGCTGAACCCTCGTACAGAAAGCCTGAGTGTACAAATACAACAGCTGAACCCTCGTACAGAAAGCCTAGTGTACAAATACAATAAATTGTTCCATCGTACAGAAAGCCTGAGTGTACAAATACAACAGCTGAACCCTTGTACAGAAAGCCTGAGTGTACAAATGTTCATCACGTCTTATCTTTATTATCAGTATCAAGGACCCGCCTTTCAAAAAGAACTTTACTTGATCATCTTTCTGTCTTCACTAAAGGGGTACGAACATGAAATGTTAAACTGTTCCAACTTTAGTTTGTACCTAACTGTACACATTGAATTATCCTGATCCTATACAAGGTTATCTCATGTCTCAGTATAAACAGTTAACAATATTGACCGTTACTTATTACTTCAAGGTCAAATTATGACACATCTGATATTCTGAATGAGGTTCATCATTTTGATGTGAATACGAAATGCTAAGATTGTTTTATGAGTTGAATATATATTTTGTGAGCTTTAGAAACTGTGTTGGGGAAACCAGCTGAAACTGTCTTGGGGAAACCAGCTGAGTCATCTTTATAACCCCAATTTAACATCCACTAAGGGACGGAATGGGTAAAAAATAAATTACCCATCCCATGGACTGCCTGCAGTATTAGAGTGCTATATATACACAATGGTCATTTGCACTCTTTACTTGACACTCTTGAGTTGAGAAATTGGTCATTTGCACTCTTTACTTGACTAAGGAAACAGATGTTATTGAAAGCTCAGAAATTTAAGTCCTCAATTACTGTTTGTGTTCAAAACAAACTCGGCACACTCGACACACACGACACATCTGGATAAGATAGTGACCATGAAAAAAGCCTGAGTGTTAGTAATAATTAACCGTGACTGAACACTAGCCAGTCTGTAATTGTTGACGTTGAATATCGACCATTAACTAACCGTCTGTAAGCCTGATCAGAATTCCCGAAGCTTTGTAGCCACACAGCTCTCCCTTCATACAAGCTTCTCGGAACCCCTGAAACAAAATATTTCAACATAATTTTAAATCATGTTGTGATTTTCCTTTTTTGTTAAAAAAAAAGTGAAAAAGAAACCTGTAGACTCAAACACCTGTAGACTCATACACCTGTAGACTCATACAATCTAAAGTATCTGCGGCTTTTCAAAGAGATTAAAGTCTACAAGACCTTCAATTTAGTAACAGAGAGACACAGCCGTAGAGAGATCAAACATATCTCTTGCATTTCATTCCATGTGATTATTGATTGATCAAATAAAGGAATTCATATCAAAAACAGTATGATTCCTCTGCAACAAATTTTCACAGATAATTTTTAAATTTCCGCTTTTTCATAGCGTGCCAGACAGTGCCGTTCCATACTTTGTATGCTTGTATAATTTATGCTCATGCGTACACTAACATTTTCAAGGATTTTTTTTTTTATTATTTTTTTTTTTTATGATTAACATGGACCTTCCATATCAATCATAAAAGAGGGAAAGAAATAAAAAAATCTTTTTGAAAACTTTAGTCTGATAAAATTGTGTTATGTTATGTCTATACACATTGACAAATCTCGAAGGTTTATGTAAATCAAAAACTACATAGTGAAGTACAAAATTTAATATTATTCATTTAAAAAGTGTTTTTTTCTTGTTAATAATCAGTCTAAAAGGAGCTCCCAGAACACAGAGATATATATTGCTTTTAGCATCCTAGAATTCTTTCCCAGCTATGGTCCCTCCCCCTCCTCCGGTGCCTGGACCTTCTGTAAGCATACACGCCGAAAACGATTTGCTGTGCCACTGAGCGCTACCTCACTGAAATACCATGCCAAAGTGGCCCAGTACAGCGGAACTGGTCGGACACCAGAGTAACACCTGTCTGATGAAATGTATGTGATCTACGGTACAAAATATACTATACTTTGTTTTCAGTTGTTCACTTCCTTATGAACAATTGAACTCTGATAAAGTATATGGTTTAATAATGTTTAGACTTACTTTTTCAATAGCTGCTATGAAATTCTTGGGTATAGATGTTCCCATGGTTTCGTCTTGAAATACAATCTTGGTGTTTTCTTGAGCAGGAAGAGGCTGAAAATAGGAAATTCTATATTATGTACAGCGACAGAAGGCCCATAGAGTTTGTATCACTGTATCAATGATGTCCAGCAGGAATATTTACATGACAAACGAAGAAGATGAACTCAAAAACTTTTTTAATAAATCTACCCTGTGATCTTTAAAGTAAATTTATTTGACAAATTTGAAAGCACTAAATAAACAGCTTCAGGTCATTTGTTAGTCTCTGGACCTCGTGGTTCTTCAGGGAGAAAATATTTGAAGGAAAGATTGACAGACAAATGACAAACATCTGAAGTCATACCATAAATTCACTCACAAATGTTTCGTTTGTTTAGTTTTCTCCATCCGCTTTCTAAAACTCTAAATAGGTGCTCTCGTACTTTCGTATTTCTAGACATTATCACATTGGCACTTTCCACCTTGTAAGCTAGAATGGTAACTGATCATATTCAACAGAAATGTTATCAACAGAAATGTCCTCGTGTTATAATTAGTTGCCTTGAGTTAGACAAACCTCTACTGATCCGATGACTTTGGCATATTCTCCTCGTCCTCCGGACTGTTTCTTATGTAAATACTCAAATCTGAAAGAAAACCATATTTATTCATAAAGAAATGTTGCAAAGGGTAAACTTTATACAGTATATCCGGATGGATATTTTGACAGAATATTTGTGATTTCGCAGGTCATGGGGATGCAGAAACAGAATCAGTACACCGTTATGATACACTGACCTCCATCAATGACAGGTGTGATAATTTGACACTTCTCAATAATGTTTGCATAGATAATGCTCTGACGGGCAATTCTGAATGAAGACATATTCTGCTAATTAATTGTTAACCTCACAATAAAACATAAATTACTGGTATGATGCAGATTATAAAATCCTTGTTGAGATACATATTTTCACATAAATTTGCAAGGAGAGGTTATCACAAACTAAAATAAACATCAATTTACCGTCTGGAAAATATTTGTTTACACATTACAAACCAAGAAAATATTAGGAGTGTTATTCATTACATGAAGAAAGCACTTTTGTGTTTCCTAGCAATAAAAAACCGCAATAAATAATAATAAACACTAAATGAAGTGATTTACTAAATGTCCAAGAAAGCCTATGAAAATATTTGATATAGCGCCCTATCTAGCTAGAATAAGCCACTCTAAAGCGCTTTACAGTACATAGATATTCCGTCTTTGCGTGTTGCAGAGTTATCTTCTCTTGTGAGCAGGTATTGATTGTTACATCATTGGTTTGTGTGTGAAAATTACGTCGTTTTCTCAAAAATTGATGACGTAACTCTCATAAACAAATGACGTACCAATCAATACCTGCTCACAAGAGCAGATAACTCGGCAATACGAAAAGACGGAATACAATTTATACAATCAATACAATATAAAGCATATATACATTATCATAACAAGTTTTCAGGAATTCGCTGGAGCTGGCCTTATCAGGCACTAACTACTAGTCCTATGCCACCTGGCTAATATCTCCCTGTGTGTGTATGCCTGCGTGTGTGTTGGAGATATAATAATAAGAAGTGTAAATCATTAATCTTTAATGTATCATTAAATGCTCCATTAACACTTACTCCACTTTGTTGATAAGCGTTTCTATGAATGAAACCCTCGGTTTTCCCAGGACACACTTAGCTTTGAACTCTCTTTCTAATCTCTGAAAAACAAAACAAAAAACATCAGTTAAAGAAACAAATATTGAAGGATAACCTCAAAATCATTACATCGTAATCTAGACTATTCAGCAGTTTCGGCAGTCATTGTTCAATTGTCGTTTTAAATTAACATATAGATACCTCACTTTGTGTACATAAAAAGAAAACTTCAATACACAAGGAGCAATGTTTTAAATAGATATTTATAGGCAATTTAACTAATCTGATCATAGACGTCCAGGTGTAACTTGACTCACCTGAGCATAGATGTCCAGGTGTAACTTGACTCACCTGAGCATAGATGTTCAGGTGTAACTTGACTCACCTGAGCATAGATGTCCAAGTGTAACTTATCTCACCTGTGTATAGATGTCCAGGTGTAACTTGACTCACCTGAGCATAGGTGTCCAGGTGTAACTTGACTCACCTGAGCATAGATATCGTGGTGTAACTTGACTCACCTGAGCATAGATGTCCAGGTGTAACTTGACTCACCTGAGCATAGATGTCCAGGTATAACTTGACTCACCTGAGCATAGATGTCCAGGTATTACTTGACTCAACTGAGCATAGATGTACAGGTGTAACTTGACTCACCTGAGCATAGATATTGTGGTGTAACTTGACTCACCTGAGCATAGATGTCTAGGTGTAACTCGCCCATTCCTGATGCTATAGATTCCTTATTTTCGTCGTCCCACACCACACGAAAGGTGGGGTCTTCCTTTGTGAATCGACTGATTCCTTTGGAGAAATTCTCGCTGCTCTTTTTGTCGACCGGCTTGATAGACATGGATATAACAGGGTCTGGTACATACATTCTTTCCTGAAAAACAACAAAAAATGGGCAAAGGTCATTTATTTGAACAAACTTGGTAGCCATTCATCCCAGAATGTTACTGGCCAAAAATCATCACCCAAGGCCGCTTTGTTATCCAGAAGTTGTTTAAAGTAAAAAGTTGACTACAGACGGACGACAAGTGCCGCACCAAGGCATAAGCTAACTTGGCCCTTCGGACCTAGTGAGCTGAAATTGAAATAACATTACACCAGATGAAATGGTAAGAGGGACTTGATGTCAATTGGGAAATATCAAAGGGCCCACGGAAGTGGAAGACTGTCTGCATGAATACAATGTTATTAATACTGCAGAATGAATATGACTATTGTTTTCCATTAACAGAGAGCTGTTTGTACAGTATGCTGGTCCACTTCAACCAAGACATTTATTTTTCCAATTTACCATACACAGGTCGTTTATGTACAGTTCCTTTTAAGAAGGATTCTGTTTAATTTAGAGGTATACATGTACGGCAGGCACACTTCAACCTGTTTTGACCTAAACATAGAAAACCAGCACCAAAATAAAGAATTCTGTTTGGTTTGTATTCACTATAGCAACTAATTAAGGTTATAAACACAGATGAAGAAGACTCTGATAATTGTGTCATACTGGATTTTGTTTTGTTTCTGCAGCAAAATGTGAAACCAAAATGACACTGAAGTTCCTCAAACATCCCAACATTAGTTAAGCGTCAGATATACAGAAGTGTATGTACCAAAGAGACGTTTGTAAATGTTACTGTTTCACCATCCAGCTAGGAACAAAATTGGCTAGATCAATGTTATTCTACAGTACCTCATGTTTCCAGATGGTAAATTTTCAACCTTCTGGAGATGGACAAGCATGATGTGAAGAATCAGGGTACTTAATGTTCTAAAAGAAGGGGCCAACTGATTTACAGAACATTGATACTGAAATTTTTACTCCAAAAAGGTAATTTTTCAGTGTTTTAAGATCAAACAGCACACTATTTTAACTGGTTTTCAAGTCGTTTTTTAGTTTTTCTTAAAAACCCTTTTCTGTAATTTACAAATATTTTTAATAGCTTTTTTCATCTGTACAGATAAGAATTCATTGAATTTAGTGAATTCTTCAGCCAATATGTGTAGTTTCTCTTACAAGAAGTTGAAAGTACACAAATATCTTCCAAAAATCTATGAAACATCACCATATTTTACCGTAGATTTTTTGGGATAAATAGAGCGACAAACGGATGGATGCTGACTAGGTACACAGAGAGGTTATACTTACCATGGATATGTGAGTGTTTCCTGACTAGGTACACAGTGAGGTTATACTTACCATGGATAGGTGAGTGTTTCCTGACTAGGTACACAGTGAGGTTATACTAACCATGGATAGGTGAGTGTTTCCTGACTAGGTACACAGAGAGGTTATACTTACCATGGATAAGTGAGTGTTTCCTGACTAGGTACACAGTGAGGTTATACTAACCATGGATAGGTGAGTGTTTCCTGACTAGGTACACAGAGAGGTTATACTTACCATAGATAGGTGAGTGTTTCCTGACTAGGTACACAGTGAGGTTATACTTACCATAGATAGGTGAGTGTTTCCTGACTAGGTACACAGAGAGGTTATACTTACCATAGATAGGTGAGTGTTTCCTGACTAGGTACACAGTGAGGTTATACTTACCATAGATAGGTGAGTGTTTCCTGACTAGGTACACAGTGAGGTTATACTTACCATAGATAGGTGAGTGTTTCCTGACTAGGTACACAGAGAGGTTATACTTACCATAGATAGGTGAGTGTTTCCTGACTAGGTACACAGAGAGGTTATACTTACCATAGATAGGTGAGTGTTTCCTGACTAGGTACACAGAGAGGTTATACTTACCATAGATAGGTGAGTGTTTCCTGACTAGGTACACAGAGAGGTTATACTTACCATAGATAGGTGAGTGTTTCCTGACTAGGTACACAGAGAGGTTATACTTACCATAGATAGGTGAGTGTTTCCTGACTAGGTACACAGAGAGGTTATACTTACCATAGATAGGTGAGTGTTTCCTGACTAGGTACACAGAGAGGTTATACTTACCATAGATAGGTGAGTGTTTCCTGACTAGGTACACAGAGAGGTTATACTTACCATAGATAGGTGAGTGTTTCCTGACTAGGTACACAGAGAGGTTATACTTACCATAGATAGGTGAGTGTTTCCTGACTAGGTACACAGAGAGGTTATACTTACCATAGATAGGTGAGTGTTTCCTGACTAGGTACACAGAGAGGTTATACTTACCATAGATAGGTGAGTGTTTCCTGACTAGGTACACAGAGAGGTTATACTTACCATAGATAGGTGAGTGTTTCCTGACTAGGTACACAGAGAGGTTATACTTACCATAGATAGGTGAGTGTTTCCTGACTAGGTACACAGAGAGGTTATACTTACCATAGATAGGTGAGTGTTTCCTGACTAGGTACACAGAGAGGTTATACTTACCATAGATAGGTGAGTGTTTCCTGACTAGGTACACAGAGAGGTTATACTTACCATAGATAGGTGAGTGTTTCCTGACTAGGTACACAGAGAGGTTATACTTACCATAGATAGGTGAGTGTTTCCTGACTAGGTACACAGAGAGGTTATACTTACCATAGATAGGTGAGTGTTTCCTGACTAGGTACACAGAGAGGTTATACTTACCATAGATAGGTGAGTGTTTCCTGACTAGGTACACAGAGAGGTTATACTTACCATAGATAGGTGAGTGTTTCCTGACTAGGTACACAGAGAGGTTATACTTACCATAGATAGGTGAGTGTTTCCTGACTAGGTACACAGAGAGGTTATACTTACCATAGATAGGTGAGTGTTTCCTGACTAGGTACACAGAGAGGTTATACTTACCATAGATAGGTGAGTGTTTCCTGACTAGGTACACAGAGAGGTTATACTTACCATAGATAGGTGAGTGTTTCCTGACTAGGTACACAGAGAGGTTATACTTACCATAGATAGGTGAGTGTTTCCTGACTAGGTACACAGAGAGGTTATACTTACCATAGATAGGTGAGTGTTTCCTGACTAGGTACACAGAGAGGTTATACTTACCATAGATAGGTGAGTGTTTCCTGACTAGGTACACAGAGAGGTTATACTTACCATAGATAGGTGAGTGTTTCCTGACTAGGTACACAGAGAGGTTATACTTACCATAGATAGGTGAGTGTTTCCTGACTAGGTACACAGAGAGGTTATACTTACCATAGATAGGTGAGTGTTTCCTGACTAGGTACACAGAGAGGTTATACTTACCATAGATAGGTGAGTGTTTCCTGACTAGGTACACAGAGAGGTTATACTTACCATAGATAGGTGAGTGTTTCCTGACTAGGTACACAGAGAGGTTATACTTACCATAGATAGGTGAGTGTTTCCTGACTAGGTACACAGAGAGGTTATACTTACCATAGATAGGTGAGTGTTTCCTGACTAGGTACACAGAGAGGTTATACTTACCATAGATAGGTGAGTGTTTCCTGACTAGGTACACAGAGAGGTTATACTTACCATAGATAGGTGAGTGTTTCCTGACTAGGTACACAGAGAGGTTATACTTACCATAGATAGGTGAGTGTTTCCTGACTAGGTACACAGAGAGGTTATACTTACCATAGATAGGTGAGTGTTTCCTGACTAGGTACACAGAGAGGTTATACTTACCATAGATAGGTGAGTGTTTCCTGACTAGGTACACAGAGAGGTTATACTTACCATAGATAGGTGAGTGTTTCCTGACTAGGTACACAGAGAGGTTATACTTACCATAGATAGGTGAGTGTTTCCTGACTAGGTACACAGAGAGGTTATACTTACCATAGATAGGTGAGTGTTTCCTGACTAGGTACACAGAGAGGTTATACTTACCATAGATAGGTGAGTGTTTCCTGACTAGGTACACAGAGAGGTTATACTTACCATAGATAGGTGAGTGTTTCCTGACTAGGTACACAGAGAGGTTATACTTACCATAGATAGGTGAGTGTTTCCTGACTAGGTACACAGAGAGGTTATACTTACCATAGATAGGTGAGTGTTTCCTGACTAGGTACACAGAGAGGTTATACTTACCATAGATAGGTGAGTGTTTCCTGACTAGGTACACAGAGAGGTTATACTTACCATAGATAGGTGAGTGTTTCCTGACTAGGTACACAGTGAGGTTATACTTACCATAGATAGGTGAGTGTTTCCTGACTAGGTACACAGAGAGGTTATACTTACCATAGATAGGTGAGTGTTTCCTTTAGTAACAAACGTGTCTCCACTGGCACAGTCTATCCCAAACAGAGCAGAGATGTCGCCAGCATACGTCTGGCCCAGGTCCTACAATAAAACAGTGAAACCACTTGTTCAAGAGTTGACCAGTTCATCAACAAAGTTGTTCAAACTCTGATCTGTGAGACAGCAACTCTTTCATGTGAAACTGAAAACGATGTTTTGATAATTTCTTTTGAAAGTGGGGATCATTTGTTACCAAATAAAATATATCCCAAATAACCCTTCTATGGAAAGAGGCTTGATTTTTCACCCTCATTTTAACATTTTAAATCAGTAGATTTCTTTGGGCTAGAATTTAATTAAATTCAATTGCACATAACAGCTTAAACTATGACATCTTACTCTTTTGTTTTGTTGATTAGGGGTCATTTTGATTTTTTCTTCCCGATTATTTTAATTTTGCCATTCACTTTATCCTCCATGGAAATTTTGAACAGTTCGCAAGTATTCCGTCTTTTTGTTTTGCAGAGTTATCTGCTCTTGTGAGCAGGTATTGATTGTTACGTCATTAGTTTGTGTGAGAAAATGACGTCACTTTCTCAAAAATGTATGACGCTACTCTCACTAAAAAATGACGTCACAATCAATACTTGCTCACAAGAGCAGATAACTCTGCAATACGAAAAGACGGAATATAGTGAGTAAATCTAAAATCCACTATATTCTATTAAAATTATACTTTTAATAAGTTATAAGAATATCTGTTTAAATGGAAGAGATTACACCAAATTTGTTTTGACACAGTATTATCCAAATTCATGTCATCATGTATTTTTCATATTCTAAAATAGAAATTACCCATACAATGAAAGTAGGAAAATGACACTTGAGCAAACTCCAAGTACTGTTCTAGTAGGTGAGAAAGCCAGCCAAGGAACAATGAAGCCACGGTGCTTTATTAGTCAGGTAAAACATGACAGGAGTCACTTCAGACAAGTTTTAGGATTTACCTCCAGTTCGTCAGCATTCATACGACCGAGTCGAGGCACCCTGACCTTCTTGCCTGTCCTTGTGTTGTAGATAGTGTCCCCTCTGTTCAATAAACCCTGGTAACACCTCATGTAGGTCAGCTGGCCAAATCTCCCAGCCTACAAACATTTAACACGGATCAACACCCAAATCTTCCAGCCTACAAACATTTAACACAGATCAACATCCAAATCTCCCAGCCTACAAACATTTAACACAGATCAACACCCAAATCTCCCAGCCTACAAACACTTAACACGGATCAACACCCAAATCTTCCAGCCTACAAACATTTTACACGGATCAACACCCAAATTGAGCAGCGCAGAGTTATCTGCTCTTGTGAGCCACTGCTCTCTTCCAGCCTACAAACATTTAACACAAATCAACAACCAAATCACCCACCTACAAACACTTAACACGGATCAACACCCAAATCTCCCTGCCTACAAACATTTAACACGGATAAACACCCAAATCTTCCAGCCTACAAACATTTAACACGGATCAACACCCAAATCTCCCAGCCTACAAACATTTTACATGGATCAACACCCAAATCTCCCAGCCTATAAACATTTAACACAAATCAACACCCAAATCTCCCAGCCTACAAACATTTAACACGGATCAACACCCAAATCAGAGTCCAACCTTGTCAATATGTTTGGGGCAACAAAGAGGTTTGGCAATAAATTAGGGAAACACATAAACACATTCTTGAGAGAAACTAGAAAATGTCTGTAAGACATAAATGCCCCTCAGCTCATGGACGGGACGGGATGGATATGGGCAACACTATATACCCCCCATTTTATGGTGGGGGCATAAAAAGGGTCCTTGAAATATGTTGGTGGTAAGCAAGATGGCAAAAGAAAGGCGTTATATCGTATGCTACCTTACATACTATTATTATGTAGAGGATCTGTCATTCGTTTTCCTTCATATTAGATTTATGATACAAGTTTTGGATTTTAACGAATATCATGAATCTAATATGAAGGGAAACGAATGACAGAGTAAACTGTATAATTGTGATCTGAAACGAATATTTTACACTTGGCCGCCTCTGAAACGATGAAAATTGCATCTGCTTCACAATGACGTGACGTCACATTGATTGTTCCTATTCGATTGTGACGTCATTTCCGGAGTGATATTACACACGTTTCATATACATAATTAATGTGATGGCTTTATGACACTGCATAACACTGTATTCATATGATAAATATCAATATACTTCTAGTACATGTATAACTTTATAAATAATAATATTATTTGTGTTAGAGTTAAGGGTGTATGTTACTTGGAGGTAAAACCTCATCATCGATGAGGAATGCTGCTAATTCACACATTAAAACTTATGTTGATTTGTGTTTGAATTATCTCCCTTTCAATTTTTTTTTTTTCCTGCTATCAAAGTCAGAATTGATTTAATGAGAGTTATCACAGCATAGATTCTTTGTTAATATTTCAAAGTGTAACCAATTGAATGCTGACGTCCAACCAACAATTAATGAAACATGTTACAGCTCACATCCCTTAGTATAGAATTCTTTCAGCCAGGAGATATAATGGGGTTTAATCTTTAGTATAGAATTCTCTCAGCCAGGAGATATAATGGGGTTTAATCTTTAGTGTAGAATTCTCTCAGCCAGGAGATATCAAGTTGAATGGGTTTTTTTCTTTAAAAATCACTAAATTGTGGTATTGCTGATATTCGTTTTTTTCAGCAAAAATAATTTCTTGATTTTCTTTGCGTTTAGTGTTCAAATAAAACTATATCTAGATATTAATGTTTTTAAATATCTGTCATTTTAACCAAAAAAAAAAGTCTTGTTGCTCTAATTAATGTACGAAAACCTTACGAAAACCTTAAGGACCATACTTTTAGATTTGTTCATTATTTGCTCATTAATATAAACAGATTTTTGCCCCCAGTTTTTCATGTAGTTCACATTAAAGCTAAATATATGATTAAATTAACACTCTTTCATCGGTGAAATCTGTCATTTGTGTATTTTATCTAAATTTTTTTAAACTTAAATCACACTAATTATTACCTCCAGTTTAAAGGCCAGTCCAATGAATGGATTATCACCTGTCCTTGCTGGATTCATCGCAATTTTCTTTTCCTCACTGAATCAGAAAGAAACATTTTCTTAAACAGATACATACTGTGAATATGAAATTTCTTCTGCTTCGGTTGCAAAACTTTTGAGATTGTCGACAAAACATCCCAAGAATTCTCACACTTATCTTGATTCATCTTACTTACTGGGTTATCCCAAAGAAAACATGAACAGATTCAACAAATATTGTATTAGAAAGCCAACTTCTCAGTGATTAGTAATATTAAGCCCCTAATATCAATAATAATAACATACACATAAAATCATGATTGGACTGGTTTTTATCAGCTTTCAAAATATCACAATTTTTCAAATTTACTTTTCAATAAATAAGTCTGAACAAGTCTTATGATTTTCCCCAGTGACTTTGTAATAAGTTTAACTGAAGTAAAAACTGTTCACGTTAGTCGATGTTCTATTCACAATTTCAAAAGTGGAAAAAAGAAACTGATATTCAAGAAATGACCATGGCCATTTTTCCGGCTTTGAGTATGGTAAGAGAGAAGAGGAGACAAATCTTGATTCACTTTCTATAAATTTATATATACATGGCTAAATGTGCCTGTATTGACACATTCTGTTCAAATTATCTCCCCTGGACTAGCCCTCGATGAACATTCACTTATATTTCACTAATTATAGATCAATACCAACACTTTATTTTTTTTGCAAAAAGTATCTTTACTACGGATATGAATTATCACTGTTTTTTTTGTATCTGGTTTAAAGATAAGAGTAGACCTGAAAGTGGATATTTTAATAATCAATCCATTTTATTGTTATTTTGCTGTCAGACAGGATTTTATTAATTTCAAAATGTTGGCAAACTTAAGTGTAGTGAGAAGATATTTAACGTCACCGGGGTTTTATTGTATTAGGAATTCATACCCCTGCCTTTACCCCTGTATACAGGGATTCTGCGTCAGGAGGCACTTTTTTATGGGGATTCATCTGTGAAACTGTTATTTACATTGATTAAGTGGAACATGTTATTTACATTGACTAAGTGGAACATGTTATTTACATTGACTAAGTGGAACATCTTACCCTTCTACTGAGTTGTCGTTACAGAAGTTCTCTACCTCTGTTGGGTTGGGGAGGTAGCGTATCACAGCATCTAGCAGGGGCTGCACGCCCTTGTTCTTGAGAGCCGATCCCAGCAATACTGGTGTAAATGTCCTTGCAAGACATGTGCGTCGAATGGCATCCTGAAAAATTAGGATTAAAGCACCGATTTTAAAATATCTTAAACGTCACGTGAGGCACATTGTCATGTTATATGTTATGTTGGATGTTTTATTTTTTTTATTTCTTTCTTTTCATTTCATCCTTCCCGCTCCTCGTAATATTTTGAATGGAAAGTTACGATAAAACGACGAAAAAATAAGGATACAGATCAATAATTTTAACTCTTTCATCTTGGACACCTGTTCACAGTGACCACCTGTGTTAAGTGACTGTTTTACTAGTTCTCTCCTGGGTGGTTGCTATATACAGGTTTGACTAGTACATGTATTTTGCAACTAATATGCCAAGATAGCTAAGGTTGGAGGCTTAGTGCATGACCCAAATCATAAAGGGGTATGCCGCTGTACAGTCAAAAAAATCAAAACATGCCCCAAGCAACAACAGGAAAGGTATATATCACTGGCAAAAACTTAAACAGAATATGGTGTTTCTGAGACTCTCTCTTACCAGGGACATACAATCAGCTTTGTTATAAGGCAGAATTCACTAAAGCAAGTTTACACTCGCAGAAAACACATTTTAACTATAAATGCTTTATCAAATTGAAAGAATAATCTGAAAACAACAAACATGAATTTCTTTTTCTGTCGGCGTCTTCTCCTCCAGAAACATGTCAGCTAATTGTTCGTCAGCATCAGCTACTATTTCTGTAGGTAGGACAAAAATTTTATTAGGATGGATTTATACGATACACTGGTGTGTTATACGGTACATTGGTGTGTTAGCAAACACATTATTTTAGAAATTCTTAAATAGTAATTTTGCTTTGCAAAAATGTGGAAGATTTTCTTTATTTTAGCAGCTATGTCTGCCTCAAGAAAAAATATTTCACAGTAAATATACGTCTATCCACATTTTACAGTACTCCTGAGAGCTAAACAAATTAATGCACAAAAGTAATCAGAATGTGTCATTTCTACAGTAGTTTTAGCTTAAATGAATTTGAATGCAAATAAACCTTCTATGTTTTAATATTTTTGTTAGTATTTCATAACTGTACTGTCACCAATATACATTTAAATATAAAATATAAACTTTATTTGTTTTACAACAATTATGAAACAAGTTCTTTCAACTTATATTAATCACTCTTGTTGGCCCGGATGTTAGCGCGTGGGTGGGGTGGGGGGGCTCTTAGTGTGGGAGGAAACCGGAGTACCAAGAGAAAACCCACGTGGTTGGGCAGGTGACCCCAACCTTTTCACGTCCGATCGGGGAATCGAACCCTGGCCGCCTTGGTGAACGGCAAGTGCACTATCCACTGCACCACCTGACCACCAATATACATTTTATTGGCTCTGCATATTTTATGGTTCACCAGCCAACATTTCACACCTGCAGTCAAAGTAAAAGATTCTTCTGATCAGGAAATGTGTTGGGCGAAAAACTTTTCTATAATTTCAAACCGAAACGTGTAACATTTGTACTATAAACCTCCTATAAAGCCAGAACCTCCCCTTTACCTATAAGCTCCTGTCTGGTATCCTCAGCCTGGGTTCTCATATCCTGTAGAACGTGTAACATTTGTACTATAAACCTCCTATAAAGCCAGAACCTCCCCTTTACCTATAAGCTCCTGTCTGGTATCCTCAGCCTGGGTTCTCATATCCTGTAGAACGTGTAACATTTGTACTATAAACCTCCCATAAAGCCAGAACCTCCCCTTTACCTAGCAGTTCCTGTCTGGTATCCTCAGCCTGGGTTCTCATATCCTGTGGAACGTGTAACATTTGTACAATAAACCTCCCATAAAGCCAGAACCTCCACTTTACCTATCAGTTCCTGTCTGGTATCCTCAGCCTGGGTTCTCATATCCTGTGGAGCGTGTAACATTTATACTATAAACCTCCCATAAAGCCAGAACCTCCCCTTTACCTATCAGTTCCTGTCTGGTATCCTCAGCCTGGGTTCTCATATCCTGTGGAACGTGTAACATTTGTACTATAAACCTCCCATAAAGCCAGAACCTCCCCTTTACCTATCAGTTCCTGTCTGGTATCCTCAGCCTGGGTTCTCATATCCTGTGGAACGTGTAACATTTGTACTATAAACCTCCCATAAAGCCAGAACCTCCCCTTTACCTATCAGTTCCTGTCTGGTATCCTCAGCCTGGGTTCTCATATCCTGTGGAACGTGTAACATTTGTACTATAAACCTCCCATAAAGCCAGAACCTCCCCTTTACCTATCAGTTCCTGTCTGGTATCCTCAGCCTGGGTTCTCATATCCTGTGGAACGTGTAACATTTGTACTATAAACCTCCCATAAAGCCAGAACCTCCCCTTTACCTATCAGTTCCTGTCTGGTATCCTCAGCCTGGGTTCTCATATCCTGTGGAACGTGTAACATTTGTACTATAAACCTCCCATAAAGCCAGAACCTCCCCTTTACCTATCAGTTCCTGTCTGGTATCCTCAGCCTGGGTTCTCATATCCTGTGGAACGTGTAACATTTGTACTATAAACCTCCCATAAAGCCAGAACCTCCCCTTTACCTATCAGTTCCTGTCTGGTATCCTCAGCCTGGGTTCTCATATCCTGTAGAACGTGTAACATTTATACTATAAACCTCCCATAAAGCCAGAACCTCCCCTTTACCTATCAGTTCCTGTCTGGTATCCTCAGCCTGGGTTCTCATATCCTGTGGAATTTCTTCCTCAACAACTTTTAGACTGAAAAACGAAAACAACAACTAAACAGAATGAGAACTATCCATCACAGCAAATCTGTAAGTGATTCTTGTTAACCCTTTCACCCCTATGTAACTTTAGTAGACTCTACCATGCATTGATCTGGATGAGTCCATTATTGTCTACAGTGGTGAAAGGGTTAATTTGGACATCAGTTATTTGAAAGGACAATTTTTACAATTCAAACTCAATACTGATGTTCTTATTGACCAGAAGAATACCACAGTTAGGTGAATTTTATGATAAAAAGAACTTCCAACTCCTAATAATCCTAATTATCAGACTTACCCCATGGCCCCATCAAAATAGACAGCTTTCCTCTCAATGACATCAATAATACCCTCGTGATCCTTCTCCAATCCGACGGGAAGGTGTAGCAGAGCAGCGTTGTGCTTCAGCTTTGATCTGGAGCATACAAACAAAGATCGTTATTTCAAACCATGTCTCAAAGATTTCCACTCAAACTATTTAATTCATTTACAATATTGTAAATTTACTTGTTCGAAAACCATAATAAGATTGTGTTGTGACTTTAAAAGTAGTCTCATTAAAAAAGATTGATTTTCGCTACCATATAATTCATTTGCCCCGTTTCATGTACATATATATATATATATATATAAGTGAACAAGATTGCCCATTATCTTTTCTCATGAAACCTACCACAAGACTTTTCACTTGGCTGAAATAAAATACTATCAGTTTCTGGCTTTGGAAGTCTGTTCTCTAAGCAGTATTGAATACACTGAATACATTAGTCTGTTCATTACACACAATAATGAACCACCCCACAATGTTGGTCCCTAGTCTATTCTTTACTTGAGATGAACCACCCCACAATGTTGGTCCCTAGCCTATTCTCTACCTGAGATGATCCACCCCACAATGCTGGTCCCTAGTCTATTCTCTACTTGAGATGATCCACCCCACAATGCTGGTCCCTAGTCTATTCTCTACTTGAGATGATCCACCCCACAATGCTGGTCCCCAGTCTATTCTCTACTTGAGATGATCCACCCCACAATGCTGGTCCCCAGTCTATTCTCTACTTGAGATGATCCACCCCACAATGCTGGTCCCCAGTCTATTCTCTACTTGAGATGATCCACCCCACAATGCTGGTCCCCAGTCTATTCTCTACTTGAGATGATCCACCCCACAATGCTGGTCCCCAGTCTATTCTCTACTTGAGATGATCCACCCCACAATGCTGGTCCCCAGTCTATTCTCTACTTGAGATGATCCACCCCACAATGCTGGTCCCCAGTCTATTCTCTACTTGAGATGATCCACCCCACAATGCTGGTCCCCAGTCTATTCTCTACTTGAGATGATCCACCCCACAATGCTGGTCCCTAGTCTATTCTCTACTTGAGATGATCCACCCCACAATGCTGGTCCCTAGTCTATTCTCTACTTGAGATGATCCACCCCACAATGCTGGTCCCTAGTCTATTCTCTACTTGAGATGATCCACCCCACAATGCTGGTCCCTAGTCTATTCTCTACTTGAGATGATCCACCCCACAATGCTGGTCCCTAGTCTATTCTCTACTTGAGATGATCCACCCCACAATGCTGGTCCCTAGTCTATTCTCTACTTGAGATGATCCACCCCACAATGCTGGTCCCTAGTCTATTCTCTACTTGAGATGATCCACCCCACAATGCTGGTCCCTAGTCTATTCTCTACTTGAGATGATCCACCCCACAATGCTGGTCCCTAGTCTATTCTCTACTTGAGATGATCCACCCCACAATGCTGGTCCCTAGTCTATTCTCTACTTGAGATGATCCACCCCACAATGCTGGTCCCTAGTCTATTCTCTACTTGAGATGATCCACCCCACAATGCTGGTCCCTAGTCTATTCTCTACTTGAGATGATCCACCCCACAATGCTGGTCCCTAGTCTATTCTCTACTTGAGATGATCCACCCCACAATGCTGGTCCCTAGTCTATTCTCTACTTGAGATGATCCACCCCACAATGCTGGTCCCTAGTCTATTCTCTACTTGAGATGATCCACCCCACAATGCTGGTCCCTAGTCTATTCTCTACTTGAGATGATCCACCCCACAATGCTGGTCCCTAGTCTATTCTCTACTTGAGATGATCCACCCCACAATGCTGGTCCCTAGTCTATTCTCTACTTGAGATGATCCACCCCACAATGCTGGTCCCTAGTCTATTCTCTACTTGAGATGATCCACCCCACAATGCTGGTCCCTAGTCTATTCTCTACTTGAGATGATCCACCCCACAATGCTGGTCCCTAGTCTATTCTCTACTTGAGATGATCCACCCCACAATGCTGGTCCCTAGTCTATTCTCTACTTGAGATGATCCACCCCACAATGCTGGTCCCTAGTCTATTCTCTACTTGAGATGATCCACCCCACAATGCTGGTCCCTAGTCTATTCTCTACTTGAGATGATCCACCCCACAATGCTGGTCCCTAGTCTATTCTCTACTTGAGATGATCCACCCCACAATGCTGGTCCCTAGTCTATTCTCTACTTGAGATGATCCACCCCACAATGCTGGTCCCTAGTCTATTCTCTACTTGAGATGATCCACCCCACAATGCTGGTCCCTAGTCTATTCTCTACTTGAGATGATCCACCCCACAATGCTGGTCCCTAGTCTATTCTCTACTTGAGATGATCCACCCCACAATGCTGGTCCCTAGTCTATTCTCTACTTGAGATGATCCACCCCACAATGCTGGTCCCTAGTCTATTCTCTACTTGAGATGAACCACCCCACAATGCTGGTCCCTAGTCTATTCTCTACTTGAGATGAACCACCCCACAATGTTGGTTCCTAGTCTATTCTCTACTTGAGATGAACCACCCCACAATGCTGGTCCCTAGTCTATTCTCTACTTGAGATGATGATCAACTACCCTGTAGTGCTGGCCCCTACTGGCCCTGGGCTGTTGTCTACCCGAGATGATAAATCCTTTTTAAGGGTTCACCTGATTTATAGTCTGTTCCCTACCTAAGTTGATCGACCACTCTAAAAGGGTTGGCTCCGCCCCGGTCCAGCTTGTTCACAAAGGCCAAACAGGGGATGCTATATCTCTTCATCTGTCTGTTTACTGTGAGTGTCTGGGACTGGACTCCGCCCACCCCACACAGGACGAGAACAGCACCGTCGAGGACCCGCAGCGCTCGCTCTACCTCCACGGTGAAGTCTATGTGGCCAGGCGTGTCTATGATATTGACATTATGGCCTTGCCACATCACATATGTTGCGGCTGACTGAATAGTTATACCACGCTGTCTTTCCAGTTCCATGAAGTCCATCTTGGCTCCAACAGCATCTTTACCTTTTACCTGTGAAATAAATGTCTATATTTTGGACCGGTCATCTATAGCTTGTTGTTTGTGGGATATTTAATTAAATTTAATCAGTCTGCTAAAAGCATCATTAGGCCTCTCCCTTTTCTGGTCAGAACCTCACATTCCTTCACCATGATTAACCGACTTACTTGAAAAGTTTCAATCATGGCAATTTTTTTCTGAAAATTTTGAAGCCTCTGGAATAATTGAAATTTTCCAAAATTGTTAGGAGCCTGGCAAGTTTACACATTAGGTTAACTACAGATTATATTTGATGTAGGACTATGTTTTACAAGTGATCCTCTTATGTGGGAGTAACATAAAATAATCTTTTCGTGTGTTAAGGTGATCAAATCCAGGCAGATGAAACACCAAAGAAAACTGAAAGGTTACCGAGGGTTTTCCTTGATATATCATCCCGAGGGTTTGAATCAACTTCGATACATTTACTTCATTCCCAGAGATAGATAATATTTCTTAATACCTTTATGATTCACAGTCGCTGCACTTTGGATTGGTGACATTACGATACAGCAGGGGAAAATCCTGGAATTTGGGACAGTGGGGCCATTTTCAGCAATTTTTAGTCAATATCAAAATTAAGATTGGCCCTTCTATGTAAAAAGTGAAAGAAAATTGGAACATGGAGGGGTCAATTCCAGTTTTGAGGGGTCAATGGCCCCATGGCCCCCTCCAGGATTATCCCTGCCTGATATAATGATCCATACACAGGGGACTAGTGGCTAATTTAAAATTTTTATTAGAAAATATTCTTTATTTGTTATTGCATTGACAACATTGGTGCTATAGCCACATGCACAGAATTAAATTTTTATCTAAGGCCGTGCTATAACCTGTAGGTAAGAGATGGGAGAAAAGATGTCAATTATCATGTAGGTAGGGGTATTGAAACTCTACCGTAGTGTAGAATTTCAGTGTTACACATTTGAATTTTGGAAATTCAAAATATTTTAGAGATTTTCCAGGTACATGTACTGAGTTACATATAGGACAGTCTTTGAAAATTGGGGTTTGGGGGACACTGAAATTTAGGGTCATAAGTTCAGTTAGGTTCACTTCCAACATAAATTCTACAACTTCACTGACACCCATGCATATCATACTTAGGCCAAAAAAATGTATAGTCTGTTTAGGGGTGCATTGGCCAAAAAACTAGGGTAGGTAGGTCAGATTTTTTTTATTTTTTTTTATTTTTTGTATATTTTGGTCAATTATGACCCTTCTATTGTATGTAAAACAAAGAATTACATAAACAAGGTTCATTTGGAGGCAAATTGTGCTCCATATGATGACATTTAACGCCAACACGGAGCTGGAAGCCATTTTAAAAGGCAAGGAACCTTCTAAAATTCGTAAATCAGCGGGTTTTTTTATTCATCAAAAAGTTTTGGGTCGGGGGTAAAAAGCTAGGGTTGGTCAGGAACCCTAAACAGACACCTTTTTTTGTTTGCCTTATATGTGATAGACTTTCTTTTATCTTTTTTACGTCAAATGGATTGGACAAGTTTCCCTTAGGGCATAAAGCTTTTTACTCCGATTAAGATTGATACTAGTAAATGTAATATTTTCAGATACAATATGCTTTAAGGCTGATAAGTTTAATTTTTTGAGATAGTATATTTGTATTGGGTGTCGATCTTATACCTCATGCATTTCAGCCAGTTTTCCTGTGTAGAAGAGGAGTCGCTCTGTCAATGTGGTTTTCCCAGAATCAATGTGGGCGGAGATTCCAATGTTCCGTATCTTAGTAACATCCTCCATGACTTCCTGAAATTGTAATCAAATGGCATTTTAATTCCATGGAAAACTCAAAACCAATAGTCTAATGTACTCATTGGTTTTATATACAGTAACATCTTTTCAATACAATTTCTACTCCAGTTTCTTTTTGTCAAATTTCCAGTTCAAGTCCAAAGTAAACTACCATATATTTTGGTTATTCTACATTAAAAAAAACCTAGATAATATATGACTATTTTCATGTAAATTTCCCAATTTTCCATATATTTTTTATAGTTTCAAGACTTTTTGAAGGAAATTTAGAATTCCATTTTATTATTAAAAAAACACAAACCGGAAGATACTTAACGCAGTACTGATCGTTGTGCATTAATTAATGAGTATACCATAACATCCTTTGATATATATACAAGCTGCAGTTAATTTACCAACAGTAGGGTTAAAAGTATACTTATGTGTGTATTGTGTACCTGACCATATGAATTACAGTCCAACAGAAAAAGATACACCTGGTACAGCAAAAACACATGTTCTTAATAGTAAAAGGAATTTAGTAAGACATTTAGTGTATTTAAAACACTGACATTTTTTTTTTCAAATTACATTACAGACTCTCTCGGCCTGTTTAATGAAATTGTATAAAACAGCGTTAACTTACGCCAAAGGTCCTGCCTCCTGCATAATTTGCTGCCTGAATATAGCTGACCTGCAAAATATATATACATAATTAAAAACATTCGTTAAAAAGATACATGAATTCTCATGCCGAATGAGGTTGATCCAGAAAGTTAACATTAGATCAGCTGGTAATCTAATTACTATAAGTCTGTGACAAAAGTAATATTGTTATATTCCCAGTTTTAATGATGAAATAACATTAATTTTAAAGATAAAATACTCTTCCTATTTTGGATAAATTACTGTATGTAAACATCTACATGGGCATAGTGTATAGCTGTGCATGTTAATCATATGCTTAATGCTATGACATCAGTGCTTATAGTTTCATTATCTAATATTTTGTAGAGCTATCAATCTTCCATTCTTATTCTGATATATGTTGTATTTCACAGTATACATAGCTACTATCTTTACCGGAAACAATTTTGACTCAATTGCCCAATTTTTGAGGCACCTTTGAATATATTCTCAATTGCAGCAGATCAATTAAATGTTTCTGTCAAACTCATTGCTATTAACAATAATGTCAATATCACCAATCCTTAATTTGCAAATATTTTTTAATCTCTAAATTTCCTTGTACAATGGCTGACCCAGTTTCTGCGAGGGTTCAAAATTGGGAATATTATCATTGTATTGAGACATAGGACATATCTATTCTTTTTAGGAAAATTCCCAGGCTGCAGGTTGTTGGGATGGGGGTAGCAAACTTCGGGGGATGAGGCTTTGATTAAAAGAATATTTACTACTTTTGTGAAACTTCACAAAATCTAAATGTAGAAAATAAATGCAGCGGAACTGGATTGTGTCGATTGTTGGCGACCGTGTAGCTTGATTAGTAGAGCGTCCGTCTAGAGTTCGGAGGGTCCCGGATTCGAACCCCTGACCGTGCATTCTTCCTTTCCTGTTACAGTGATGTCGTGACCAGGATGACGCATGAGTGTCCACTGATTAGGTCACATATAGTTCATATAATGTTCTAAGATGACCAAACAATATGCATGCGTAGCCAATCAACAAATGTTGTACACAATATATCAGTTGGTCTAGAAGCTTATTATTTAACATGCAGACATGGACACCGGCTTTCGTAACAAATCAAAATCGCAGTCATCTCAATGGCGTGTATATTACAAGCTCTTACCTTTGGCAGTCTGGAACATCCAACCCCACGTAAACAGGAACATGTTTTTGCAACTGTTAATAACTTCATTTTCATTCAATGTTGTTCAAAATTACGTTGACATTGATTCGGCACATCGGCAAAGTCGCTTTCACATGTGCACCGGAAGCAGTTTATATTACAATGCGCATGTCTGACATATATAGCACAGGCCGTTACATATATAGGAGACGTATAATTCACGTCTCTGACATATCCAACAAAACCGAAAGCTTAAATCCATTTTATAAAGAAACTCATTTCTCAACTAGGTAACAAGAATGTCATGATACTGAAATGGGTAACTCAATATCACGATAACAAAGTTTAAGCTTAACCTTTGACCTCTGGCACTGAGTGACCCTTTCGTTCAGACGTTTCTTGACTTTACGTTAACCTGAAAGACACACGACCAAGAGTATACGAATATTAAAGCCGACATTTTTGTAAACAGTGTGGATCCTTATAACGGCAATATATCTTGTATTGTCACTGTACTGTCATCCTAAGGATATGATTTTCATGGTTTGAAGTTGACTGGAGGACCCGAGAGGTCCTCAAAAGTTGTAACGACTTGAACAGAAAAGGTAAATTACTGTAAACCTAAAACATATGCAGTATATCACAATATTGTCGATTCACTGACAGCTGACTCGTAATCAGTTAGACATAAGGCTACTGAACTTCGCAAAGTGTACGATTTTATAGTTCTTAATTCTTGTATTTCGTTTTGACCTTTGTAACAGTTAGTCTTGTCTTAGCCTTAGCTGGCTCGTCTGTAGCCTTAACATGTATGCAGTCTTGTCAATGTTGTCATACATGTATGTGCACGTGGTGTCCTGCATTTATAATGTTTTCCTAATTGTAACATTAACCTGTGTGTAGTTTTGTTCTTAGTCTTGTTCTGCATATAGTCCTGTCCATTATGTAGTCCTGTCCTGTATGTAGTCTTGTTCTGCATATAGTCCTGTCAGGTATGTAGTCCTGTCCTGTATGTAGTCCTGTCCTGTTTGTAGTCTTGTTCTGCATATAGTCCTGTCCAGTATGTAGTCCTGTCCTGTATGTAGTCCTGTCCAGTAGGTAGTCCTGTCCAGTATGTAGTCCTGTCCAGTATGTAGTTCTGTCCTGTATGTCACCTTGGTCTATTTGAAAGGCTAATCCTGTATATATGTAGTCCTGTCCTGTTTATCGTCCTTTTCTGTATATATATATATGTAGTCTTGTCCTGTGTGTGGTATTGTCCTGTGTGTAGTCCTTTCCTGTGTATAGACTTGTCCTATTTATAGTCCTGTCCTGTATGTAGTCCTGTCCTATTTATAGTCCTGTCCTGTATATAGTCCTGTCCTATTTATAGACTTGTCCTGTGTATAGTCCTGTCCTATTTATAGACTTGTCCTGTGTGTAGTTTTGTCCTGTGTGTAGTCTTGTCATATTCATAGTCCTGTCCTGTGTGTAGTCTTGTCCTATTTATAGTCCTGTCCTGTATGTAGTCCTGTCCTATTTATAGACTTGTCCAGTGTGTAGTCCTGTCCTGTGTGTAGTCTTGTCCTATTTATAGTCCTGTCCTATTTATAGTCCTGTCCTGTATGTAGTCCTGTCCTATTTATAGTCTTGTCCTGTGTGTAGTCTTGTCCTATTTATAGTTCTGTCCTGTGTGTAGTCTTGTCCTATTTATAGTCTTGTCATGTATGTAGTCCTGTCCTATTTATAGACTTGTCCTGTGTGTAGTCCTGTCCTGTGTGTAGTCTTGTCCTATTTAAAGTTCTGTCCTGTTATAGTCTTGCCCTGTGTGTAGTCCTGTCCTGTTTATTGTCTTGTTCTGTAACGTTGAAGTGTTGTTCTGTATGTAGTCTTGTCCTGTTATAGTCTTTTCCTGTATGTAATCTTGCCCTGTATGTAGTCCTGTCCTGTTTTAATTTGTAGCCTAGTCCTGTATGTAGTGTTGTCCAGTCCCGTATATATGTAGTCCTGTCATGTATGTAGTCTTGTCTTGTATGTAGTCTTGTCTTGTATGTAGTCTGGTCCTGTATGTATTCTTGTCCTGTATGTAGTCTTGATGTATACTTGTGGTCTTGTCCTGTATGTAGTCTTGTTCTGTATGTAGTCTGGGCCTGTATGTATTCTTGTTCTGTATGTAGTCTTGCTGTGTACATGAAGTCCTGTCCTGTTTTAATTTTTTAGCTTAGTCATGTATGTAGTCTTGTCCTCTATGTAGTCTTGTTCTGTATGTAGTCTGGGCCTGTATGTATTCTTGTTCTGTATGTAGTCTTGATGGGTACATGAAGTCCTGTCCTGTTTTAATTTTTTAGCTTAGTCATGTATGTAGTCTTGTTCTGTATGTAGTCTTGTTCTGTATGTAGTCTGGGCCTGTATGTATTCTTGTTCTGTATGTAGTCCTGTCTTGTGTGTAGTCCTGTCCTGTATGTAGTCTTATCCTGTATGTAGTCTTGTTCTGTATGTAGTCTTGTTCTGTATGTAGTCTTGTTCTGTATGTAGTCTTGATGTGTACATGAAGTCCTGTCCCGGTTTAATTTTTTAGCTTAGTCATGTATGTAGTCTTGTTCTGTATGTAGTCTGGGCCTGTATGTATTCTTGTTCTGTATGTAGTCTTGATGGGTACATGAAGTCCTGTCCTGTTTTAATTTTTTAGCTTAGTCATGTATGTAGTCTTGTCCTGTTCATCGTCTTGTTCTGTACATGTGTTTATGCATGTCCTGTTTATAGTTCTCCTGTGTATAGTCTTGTCCTGTATGTAGTCTTGTCTTGTTTATAGTCCTGTCCAGTCCCGTATATACGTAGTCCTGTCCTGTATGTAGTCTTATCCTGTATGTAGTCCTGTCCTGTATGTAGTCTTATCCTGTATGTAGTCTTGTTCTGTATGTAGTCTGGTCCTGTATGTATTCTTGTTCTGTATGTAGTCCTGTCTTGTGTGTAGTCCTGTCCTGTATGTAGTCTTATCCTGTATGTAGTCTTATTCTGTATGTAGTCTGGTCCTCTATGTAGTCTTGTTCTGTATGTAGTCTTGTTCTGTATGTAGTCTTGTCCTGTATGTAGTCTTGTCCTGTATGTAGTCTTGTTCTGTATGTAGTCTTGTTCTGTATGAAGTCTTGTCTGTTTATAGCCTTGCCCTGTATGTAGTCTTGTCTGTTTATAGCCTTGTCCTGTATGTAATCTTGTCATATGTGTAGTCTTATCCTGTATGTAGCTCTGCCCTGTTTATACTATAGCCTTGTCCTGTATGTAGTCTTGTCTGTTTATAGCCTTGTCCTGTATGTAGTCTTGTCTGTTTATAGTCTTGTCCTGTATGTAGTCTTGTCCTGTATGTAGTCTTGTTCTGTATGTAGTCTTGTTCTGTATGTAGTCTTGTTCTGTATGAAGTCTTGTCTGTTTATAGCCTTGCACTGTATGTAGTCTTGTCTGTTTATAGCCTTGTCATGTATGTAATCTTGTCATATGTGTAGTCTTATCCTGTATGTAGCTCTGTCCTGTTTATACTATAGCCTTGTCCTGTATGTAGTCTTGTATGTTTATAGCCTTGTCCTGTATGTAGTCTTGTCCTGTTAGTAGTTTTGTCCTGTTTATAGACTTGTCCTGTATGTAGTCTTGTCTGTTTATAGTCTTGTCCTGTATGTAGTCTTGTCCTGTATGTAGTCTTGTTCTGTATGTAGTCTTGTCCTGTATGTAGTCTTGTTCTGTATGTAGTCTTGTTCTGTATGAAGTCTTGTCTGTTTATAGCCTTGTCCTGTATGTAGTCTTGTCCTGTTAGTAGTTTTGTCCTGTTTATAGACTTGTCCTGTATGTAGTCTTGTCTGTTTATGACCTTTTCCTGTATGTAGTCTTGTCTGTTTATAGCCTTGTCCTGTATGTAGTCTTGTCTGTTTATAGCCTTGTCCCAAGGATTGAATTTAATTTTTAAATCCACAAGCAAACTGTTGCTTGTGGTTTCAAAAGTTAGAAGCAAATTGACAAATCAAGAAGCAAAATATTTGGACGTCAAAATTTTATTTAAGAATCATCCAACGACATGTATAGTGTTTCTACTGGTGGGGCCCATATGGCAAGGTGGTTTGGCGCTTTGTCCGCTGGCCATTGATCCACCACCTGTTGACGAATGGTCTTGGTGCAAAGTCAGCCATTTCTGTACTGTATTTATTTGTACGAGAGGCTGAGCTTCAGTCTTCGACGGTGGTTCTGTTAGTGTATGCACTTTTTAGTGCCTTCAGTGCCGTCAGGTTCCAATTTTCTTTTAAAAAAAACCGTAATCATCGTTTGAGCTTTGACTTTTGACGCTGTCTGCACATATATATGTTCCGAAATACACTCTCATTATTGCCGACACTAAACGAGACTTAGTACTTGTGCTATATTTAGACACGCACACATGTGTACAACTTACAGATTATGTTTTGATCGGCACATCGACGAGTCCTGACCATAGACCAGCACTTGTTACAAATATATCGATGATCCGGAAATATTGACACAATTTATACACACATGCTGCAGTAAAATACCAGACGCAAGTATTTTCGTTTTGGAACCCATATCAAAACGCAAATCTCAAAATCCTAACGCAAATTGCGTGTAAATAAGAGTAAATTTCGAACCCTGTTGTCCTGTATGTAGTCTTGTCTGTTTATAGTCTAGTCCTGTATGTAGTCTTGTCTGTTTATACCCTTGTCCTGTATGTAGTCTTGTCTTTTTATAGCCTTGTCCTGTATGTAATCTTGTCTGTTTATAGCCTTGTCCTGTATGAAGTCTTGTCCTGTAAGTAGTCTTGTCCTGTAAGTAGTCTTGTTCTGTATGTAGTCTTGTCCTGTAGATAGTCTTGTCTGTTTATAGCCTTGTCCTGTATGTAGTCTTGTCCTGTAAGTAGTCTTGTCTGTATGTAGTCTTGTCCTGTATATAGTCTTGTCTGTTTATAGCCTTGTCCTGTATGTAGTCCTGTCTGTTTATACTATTATGTAGTCTTGTCCTGTATGTAGTCTTGTCCTATACGCAGTCTTGTCCTGTAAGTATTCTTGTCTGTTTATATTTATAGCCTTGTCCTGTTTATAGCCTCGTCCTGTATGTAGTCCTGTCTGTTTATACTATAGCCTTGTCCTGTTTGTAGTCTTGTCTGTTTATAGCCTTGTGCTGTATGTAGTCTTGTCTGTTTATATTTATAGCCTTGTCCTGTATGTAGTCTTGTCTGTTTATATTATAGCCTTGTCCTGTATGTAGTCTTGTCTGTTTATATCCTTGTCCTGTATGTTGTCTTGTCTGTTTATAGCCTTGACCTGTATGTTGTCTTGTCTGTTTATAGCCTTGTCCTGTATGTAGTCTTGTCCTATACGCAGTCTTGTCCTGTAAGTATTCTTGGCTGTTTATATTTATAGCCTTGTCCTGTTTATAGCCTCATCCTGTATGTAGTCCTGTCTGTTTATACTATAGGCTTGTCCTGTTTGTAGTCTTGTCTGTTTATAGCCTTGTGCTGTATGTAGTCTTGTCTGTTTATATTTATAGCCTTGTCCTGTTTATAGCCTCATCCTGTATGTAGTCCTGTCTGTTTATACTATAGGCTTGTCCTGTTTGTAGTCTTGTCTGTTTATAGCCTTGTGCTGTATGTAGTCTTGTCTGTTTATATTTATAGCCTTGTCCTGTAAGTATTATTGTCTGTTTATAGCCTTGTCCTGTATGTACTCTTGTCTGTTTATATTATAGCCTTGTCCTGTATGTAGTCTTGTCTGTATGTAGTCTTGTCTATTTAGAGTCCTGTCCTGTATGTAGTCTTGTCTGTTTATAGCCTATAGCCTTGTCCTGTAAGTATTATTGTCTGTTTATAGCCTTGGCCTGTATGTAGTCTTGTCTGTTTATAGCCTTGTCCTGGATGAAGTCTTGTCTGTTTATAGCCTTGTCCTGTATGTTGTCTTGGCTGTTTATAGCCTTGTCCTGTATGTAGTCTTGTCCTATACGCAGTCTTGTCCTGTAAGTATTCTTGTCTGTTTGTCTTGTCTGTTTATAGACTTGTACTGTACGTAGTCTTGTCTGTTTATAGCCTTGTCCTGTATGCAGTCTTGTCTGTTTACTTGTCTGTTTATAGACTTGTCCTGTATGTAGTCTTGTCTGTTTATAGTCTTGTCCTGGATGTAGTCTTGTCTGTTTATAGCCTTGTCCTGTATAAGTATTATTCTCTGTTTATAGCCTTGTCCTGTATGTAGTCTTGTCCTGTATGTAGCCTTGTCCTGTATGTAGTCTTGTCTGTTTATATCCTTGTCCTGTATGTTGTCTTGTCTGTTTATAGCCTTGACCTGTATGTTGTCTTGTCTGTTTATAGCCTTGTCCTGTATGTTGTCTTGTCTGTTAATAGCCTTGTCCTGTATGTAGTCTTGTCCTATACGCAGTCTTGTCCCGTAAGTATTCTTGTCTGTTTATATTTATAGCCTTGTCCCGTTTATAGCCTCGTCCTGTATGTAGTCCTGTCTGTTTATACTATTATGTAGTCTTGTCCTGTATGTAGTCTTGTTCTGTATGTAGTCTTGTCCTGTATGTAGTCTTGTCTGTTTATAGACTCGTCCTGTATGTAGTCTTGTCTGTTTATAGACTTGTCCTGTATGTAGTCTTGTCTGTTTATAGTCTTGTCCTGGATGTAGTCTTGTCTGTTTATAGCCTTGTCCTGTTTGTAGTCTTGTCTATGTCTGTTTATAGCCTTGTCCTGTATGTAGTCTTGTCTGTATGTAGTCTTGTCTATTTATAGTCCTGTCCTGTATGTAGTCTTGTCTGTTTATAGCCTTGTCCTGTTTGAAGTCTTGTCTGTGTCTGTTTATAGCCTTGTCCTGTATTTAGTCTTGTCTGTATGTAGTCTTGTCCTGTATATAGTCTTGTCCTGTATGTAGTCTTGTCCGTTTATAGCCTTGTCCTGTTTGTAGTCTTGTCTATGTCTGTTTATAGCCTTGTCCTGTGTTTAGTCTTGTCTGTATGTAGTCCTGTCTGTTTATAGACTTGTCCTGTATGTAGTCTTGTCCTTTACGCAGTCTTGTCCTGTAAGTATTATTGTCTGTTTAAAGCCTTGTCCTGTATGTAGTCTTGTCCTTTACGCAGTCTTGTCCTGTAAGTATTATTGTCTGTTTAAAGCCTTGTCCTGTATGTAGTCTCGTCTGTTTATAGCCTTGTCCTGTATTTAGTCTTGTATGTATGTAGTCTTGTCTGTTTATAGTCTTGTCCTGTATATAGGCTTGTCCTGTATATAGTCTTGTCTGTATGTAGGCTTGTCCTGTATATAGTCTTGTCTGTTTGTAGTCTTGTCCTGTATATAGTCTTTTCTGTATGTAGTCTTGTCCTGTATGTAGTCTTGTCCTGTATGTACTCTTGTCTGTTTATAGCCTTGTCCTGTTTGAAGTCTTGTCTGTGTCTGTTTATAGCCTTGTCCTGTGTTTAGTCTTGTCTGTATGTAGTCCTGTCTGTTTATAGACTTGTCCTGTATGTAGTCTTGTCCTGTATGTAGTCTTGTCCTGTATGTAGCCTTGTCCTGTATGTAGTCTTGTCTGTAAGTAGTCTTGTCTATTTATAGTCCTGTCCTGTATGTAGGCCTGTCCTATTTATAGTCCTGTCCTGTATGTAGTCCTGTCTGTTTATAGCCTTGGCCTGGTTGTAGTCTTTTCTATGTCTGTTTATAGCCTTGTCCTGTGTTTAGTCTTGTCTGTATGTAGTCCTGTCTGTTTATAGACTTGTCCTGTATGTAGGCTTGTCTGTTTATAGTCTTGTCCTGTATATAGTCTTGTCCTGTATATAGTCTTGTCTGTATGTAGTCTTGTCCTGTATATAGTCTTGTCTGTATGTAGTCTTGTCCTGTATATAGTCTTGTCTGTTTATAGCCTTGTCCTATATGTAGTGTTGTCTGTTTATATTATAGTCTTGTCCTGTATGTACTCTTGTCTGTTTATAGACTTGTCCTGTGTGTAGTCTCGTCCTGTATGTAGTCTTGTCTGTTTATAGACTTGTCCTGTATGTAGTCTTGACCTGTATGTAGTCTTGTCCTGTATGTAGTCTTGTCTGTTTATAGACTCGTCCTGTATGTAGTCTTGTCTGTTTATAGACTTGTCCTGTATGTTGTCTTGTCCTGTATATAGTCCTGTCTGTTTATAGCCCTGTCCTGTATGTAGTCTTGTCTGTTTATAGTCTTGTCTGTTTATAGACTTGTCCTGTATGTAGTCTTGTCTGTTTATAGACTTGTCCTGTATGGAGTCTTGTCTGTTTATAGTCTTGTCCTATATGTAGTGTTGTCTGTTTATATTATAGTCTTGTCCTGTATGTACTCTTGTCTGTTTATAGACTTGTCCTGTATTTTGTCTTGTCCTGTATATAGTCCTGTCTGTTTATAGCCCTGTCCGGTATGTAGTCTTGTCTGTTTATAGTCTTGGCTGTTTATAGACTTGTCCTGTATGTTGTCTTGTCTGTTTATAGCCTTGTCCTGTATGTAGTCTTGTCTGTTTATAGCCTTGTCTGTATGTAGTCTTGTCTGTATGTAGTTTTGTCCTGTATGTAGTCTTGTCTGTATGTAGTCTTGTCCTGTATATAGTCTTGTCTGTTTATAGCCTTGTCCTATATGTAGTGTTGTCTGTTCATATTTATAGCCTTGTCCTATATGTAGTGTTGTCTGTTTATATTTATAGTCCTGTCCTGTAAGTAGTCTTGTCTGTTTATATTTATAGTCCGGTCCTGTAAGCTATTATCTGTTTATAGCCTTGTCCTGTGTGTGTATCAAGTCTTTTCCTGTATATAGTCTTGTGATGTCCTTTAATTTGGTTGTGGTCTATAGCTGTGTGTGTAGTCTTCTAATCTTGTGTGTGTGTGTAGGACTAGTTATATGTATGAACTATAAACTATATTGTCTTTATTGTGTTGATCATGAATTTATAAAATATGTACCATCATCATACTCCGAAGGTCGTGTCAATAACTGGGCCACCTTAGAGATAGAGCTACTCCATGTACTCTTTATATACAAAGTGATGTATAAGATGTCCAGAATCTAGACCTGCCTTATAGTTAAATATAGACACAGATATATTAGCCCTGGGGAGAACACTTTAAAGGTGCTATCATTTACCACATGTTCACGTACAGATGTCAACTTCAACATAACTGGACATTTTATATAACAAACCATCAATTTACTAGGGTAAGTTTGCTTCACCTTTTAGGCTGCATTTACTGTTATCCATTCTTTAAAAGGCTGAATATAATGAGGGGATAATTACCCTACTGTATTTTGAAATTTGCGGCAGTATATTGTGATTATACTGTCGCTAATTGAGTTTTACTGGAGACGTACGTGGAATGGAGCCAGTAAAACAGATATTTGTGACAGTATAATCGTGGTATACTGCTGCAAATCTTTGAAAAGAAAGGGGTGATTATCCACATTCTAATTAACCTGAAACCACCAAAAGAATTTTAAGATATGGTTATAGCATTTTCTTTAAACTCTGGGTCATTCTGACATGGATTGGTGATCATGACATCAGGGATATCCAAAGTGAGGTGGAAATACATTGACCATTGGTATGTCACATTATTGTTTGTGATGTCATAAACAATCATTTTCATGATATGTCACGCCCAGAGTCAGTCGAGGTCAATGACGTCACAAACAATCGCAATCCAGGCTTTATATGCAAATGAAACAAAAATGTGTATGTTATATCATTATACCCTCACAGCTTATTCTGATCAACTAAAGTTGATAATAACATGATTTTGTTGTAGAAGTTTCTTTAAAATCAGCAAAATTATGAGAAACTATTGAATGTGCCGGAGAATCAAAGTAGATAGTGTATGCCTACAAGGGTGGATGAGTTTATCTCTAAGAATCCCTATAGATTATATTACTGATTTCATTTCAGAAGCATTTATCATTTTATGAATGAAGGTGTTGGCTAACGCTGGTGTTGGCCTGTTGTTGTCATTTAAGGAGTTTGGGGGTATAAACATCATTCTCTCAGTGTCATTTCCTATCCTGAGATATCATTTTTTATTCCACGAAGTTAACACCAAACACATTTTTAAAACATTTTCAAAGCTTGTACTCCGAGATGCTTTTTTTATATCATTTCTTAAATTTCAAATTTACACAAAACTTATCTGTTTGTCATCCATTCTCTATCATGATGTAAATTGATGCATGACCAATTTGCAATTTTTGCATCCATTATTTAGTTGGTTCATGTAGGTTTATACAATTTGGAAAAAATACATTTTCTCAATTATTTTGCAGATGACATTGAAATCATCACTTCGTAAAATATTAGCCAAACTCTGTAACCCTTTCACCACTGTAGACCATAATGAACTCATCCAGATCAATGCATGGGATGGTCTACTAAAGTTGCATAGGGGTGAAAGGGTTAAAAATGTGCTCTACTTGTATGAGATAGGGAAAAATTGTGTCGCCAGCAACGCGAGGCAACATATAGGTATTATTTTAAATTTGTCGGCAGCGACGTTGTCGGTTGTGTCGTCCGAAACAAGGTTTCTGTGTGATAACTTGAGTTCCCTTGGATTGATTGAACTCAAACTTGGTACACACATTGCATACCATTTTAGCTCGAGTTAGTTCGCATTTCAGAAGTTTACATGCATTTTTGGTGGAGTGATGCCCCTTTTATTGCCAAATAAGGGCATTGTGTAGTAAATTAGAACTTTTTTAATTTTCTAATCAATTCCTTTCAAATTTTGTACATTAATGCTTAAAGCAATTATGTTCAATATATATCACAGGTTTTTCTGTTGAGTTTCAACTTTCTGCGTTTTGGCATATCACACTTGACATAGTAACGCTGCGTTAATTTTTTCTTGTTTTCATGTTAACTCAAGCCAAAACAATTTTCTTACTAAAAGCACTGAGCAGGCGACACATCCTGAGGATTTTGTTTGTTTGTTTTTTTCATTCAAATTTTTGTTGTCACATTCAAAACATGCAAAAATATGTATTATCAGTAAGATTAATGAAAGGTCACTGTACAACTCCAATCATGTTTCCATATTGAGCATTCTGTCAATGAAATTCCATTTTTGATTTACCATAATCTTTTTTTATTTGAATATGTATCAAGTCCACACTCTTCTACTTTTTTTTTATAAAAAAAACATGTAAGTTTTCCATTCAGTAATTGTAGGGTTTTCCTCCTTAATTTGCACAAATATATGTAATATTTTAATATTAAAATCAAGAAAGTTATTTCAGTTTCAGTTTCAAAAATACCAAACAACATGATTACTGGGTCTCTTGCTAAGTCTATTTCATATTGTGACCTCAAGATGACCAAAGAGATTGTACATTCCCATAATAAATGTATCAATGTTTCTCCTGTGGAATTCTTGTATCATTTATATTTTGACACATTTTATCAACATAAAATAATTCCAAAAGAAGTATCCGTATGCCTTACTATATCTTGTAATTGTTGATACGAGGAAGATCATGTAAATAGCACATTAAGTGGCTATGGGACTGTGTAGATCTATAAATGTGGGTGGCTAGTAACACAATATTGTCATAGCTATATATATATAGATGTAGGTTTGTACACACTGGTATCTATTACACTCTATCTTTATATAGATGTTGTGTATTTAAAATCATGGACAATGATTTAAATGCATGGTTTTAGCTTTCATATATGTATTTGGGGTGGAATGTTGGCCCCATTCTCAAGGAAACTTTGATATCTTTATCTTTTTATTTTGACAAAGAAAATTCCAAAAATAGAAAATTTAGCTAAAAATAGAAAAAGTCAACAATGTCTTATGATCATACGATATGGTGGCCTACCTGGACAAACAAACAAGCCTGCTGTATCTTTCTGCTTTATTTGTATATATACATATTATAAATAAACCATTTGAAGTACGTACAACCCTAATCTTAGAATTTCTAGTGGAATTGTTCTGTCATCTTCTTAGATATTAAGGTGGGGTCATGATATAGTTTTTAAGTTGCAGCTAAGGTCTCTATTTATATTTATATTAAAGAGGAAATACATTAAAAAGTAATTGTTGGTGTTCTATATTTTTCAGAAACTAACACAATGGGAGCAAGTTATCCTAAGGTTGAGCAATTGTCTCGGGCGATGACCGCTATACAGGACGGGGATGTGGCACTCCTGCAGGTTTTGTCACGCTCCACAAACCTGACCGGCTACCTTAAGCTTCGCCACTCCCAGACTACGGCTCTACATTTGGCTGCTGCTCATGGTCAGCCAGAATGCATTCAATTTCTGCTTGATCTTGGAGCAAACATTCATGAAGTGGATTCCAGCCGAGAGTCTGTTCTACACAGTGCAATAGTGACAAAATCACCAAAGTGGGGCAACTGTTTATCTCTGATTCTAAAAGCAAAAGCAGACATAAACGCAGTGAACGTCTGGCAAAGGACTCCTTTGATGAAAGCGGTTGTCAATTTTAAAATTGCTGCCGCTAATTATCTGATAAGTGAAGGTGCTGATGTTTGTGTTTCTGATGAGAACGGAACAACCCCGTTGCATGTTGCTGCTAGCTACGGTAACCTTGGGCTGGTGAAAACTTTACAGGAGAACCGCGCTAACAACAATGCTCAAGATCAGAGAGGACGGACACCTATGTATTTTGCCATTCTCGGAGGTCACGAAGATGTGACCGAGTACCTCATTCAGCATGGCTGTGAGGTCAACCTGTTTGACCTTGGATGGGGTTCACCCTTACAGCTCTCGGTCACAAAATGTAATGTCAGGGTCTTGTCTCTTCTTCTAAAATCGGGGGCATGCTTCAACGTACAGCCAATAAACATGGCTGATGCACCGGGCATTATTGACATAGCTTTAAAGATTGCCCTCAAAAGGGTAAACATCTACCGCAATGAAGAGAACAAACAAGATGTCGACATGAGCTCTGCAAGTAACAAGCGTGCATGTGATAGTCTAGAGTGTCTACGCCTTCTGATAGTTGCCAGTGGCTTGCCTGTGGAAGAAAAGCTTATGAAAAGTATACATCAACTTGTGACTCAGTCGTTTCATAAAGATCTGCAAAAACCTTTCATGGACCTTCATCGCAGTGCAACAAAAGCTCACAAATCGTCAAAGAACTCTCCACCCTCACTGCAATACCTGGCTCGACAGCGATGTCGCAAGTTCATGATGACGTCAAATCATAATCTCATATGGGCATGTGACCGGTTGGATGTATCACAAGTGATAATTGATCTCCTTACTCTGCAGTCTTAACACCATCTGTTATGTATAGTGCTTAGATTGCAGTCTTAACACCATCTGTTATGTACAGTGCTTAGATTGCAGTCTTAACACCATCTGTTATGTATATAGTGCTTTGATTCAGAAAAGACTTATTCTCAACAATATATTTGCAAAAGATTTACATAACAATTGATGTGCCTGGGTAAAACTGTATGCGTCCTTATCATGTTCGTTATAACTGATGTGTGTCGTGGTTTAACACGTCAAAATCATGTTCGTTATAACTGATGTGTGTCGTGGTTAAACACGTCCATAGCATGTTCATTATAATAGATGTGTGTCGTGGTTAAACACGTCGAAATCATGTTCGCTATAACTGATGTGTGTCGTGGTTTAACACGTCCTATTCATGTTCGTTATAACTGATGTGTGTCGTGGTTAAACACGTCGAAATCATGTTCGCTATAACTGATGTGTGTCGTGGTTAAACACGTCCAACTCATGTTCTTTATAGCTGATGTGTGTTGTGGTTAACACGTCCATGTCATGTTCTTTATAACTGATGTGTGTCGTGGTTAAACACGTCCATATCTCATTCTTTATAATAGATGTGTGTTGTGGTTAAACACGTCCATATCATGTTCGTTATAACTGATGTGTGTCGTGGTTAAAAACGACCATATCACATTCTTTATAACGGATGTGTGTCGTGGTTAAACATGCCCATATCATGTTCGTTATAACTGATGTGTGTCGTGGTTAAAAACGACCATATCACATTCTTTATAACGGATGTGTGTCGTGGTAAACACGTCCATATCATGTTCGCTATAACTGATGTGTGTCGTGGTTAAACACGACCATATCACATTCTTTATAACGGATGTGTGTCGTGGTAAACACATCCATATCATGTTCGCTATAACTGATGTGCGTCGTGGTTAAACACGACCATATCACATTCTTTATAACGGATGTGTGTCGTGGTAAACACATCCATATCATGTTCGCTATAACTGATGTGTGTCATGGTTAAACACGTCCATATCATGTTTGTTATAATTGATGTGTGTCGTGGTTAAACCCGTCCATATCTCATTCTTTATAATAGATGTGTGTTGTGGTTAACACGTCCATGTCATGTTCTTTATAACTGATGTGTGTCGTGGTTAAACACGTCGAAATCATGTTCGCTATAACTGATGTGTGTCGTGGTTTAACACGTCCTATTCATGTTCGTTATAACTGATGTGTGTCGTGATTAAAAACGACCATATCACATTCTTTATAACGGATGTGTGTCGTGGTTAAACATGCCCATATCATGTTCGTTATAACTGATGTGTGGCGTGGTTAAAAACGACCATATCACATTCTTTATAACGGATGTGTGTCGTGGTAGACACGTCCATCTCATGTTCGCTATAACTGATGTGTGTGGTGGTAAACACGTCCATATCGTGTTCGTTATAACTGGTGTGTGTCGTGGTAAACACGTCCATATCATGTTCGTTATAACTGATGTGTGCCGTGGTTAAACACGTAACTGATGTGTGTCGTGGTTAAACACGACCATATCACATTCTTTTTAACGGATGTGTGTCGTGGTTAAGCATGCCCAGATCATGTTCGTTATAACTGATGTGTGTCGTGGTTAAAAACGACCATATCACATTCTTTATAACGGATGTGTGTCGTGGTAAAAACGTCCATATCATGTTCTTTATAACTGATGTGTGTCATGGTTAAACACGTCCATATCGTGTTCGTTATAACTGATGTGTGTCGTGGTGAAACACGTCCATATCATGTTCGTTATAACTGATGTGTGTCGTGATTAAAAACGACCATATCACATTCTTTATAACGGATGTGGGTCGTGGTAAACACGTCCATATCGTGTTCGTTATAACTGGTGTGTGTCGTGGTAAACACGTCCATATCATGTTAGCTATAACTGATGTGTGTCGTGGTTAAACCCGTCGAAATCATGTTCGTTATAATTGATGTGTGTCGTTAATAGATGTGTGTCGTGGTTAAACACGTCGAAATCATGTTCGCTATAACTGATGTGTGTCGTGGTTAAACACGATCATATCACATTCTTTATAACGGATGTGTGTCGTGGTTAAGCATGCCCAGATCATGTTCGTTATAACTGATGTGTGTCGTGGTTAAACCCGACCATATCACATTCTTTATAACGGATGTGTGTCGTAGTAAACACGTCCATATCATGTTCTTTATAATAGATGTGTGTTGTGGTTAACACGTCCATGTCATGTTCTTTATAACTGATGTGTGTCGGGGTTAAACACGTCCATGTCATGTTCGTTATAATTGATGTGTGTCGTGCTTAAACACGTCCATATCATGTTCGTTATAACTGATGTGTGCCGTGGTTAAACACGACCATATCATGTTCTTTATAACTGTCTGAGATATTGTATAATGTTAAGTGTTACACATCCATATACGTAATGTGTTCGTTGTATTATATGACAATTCTTGTTATCATGTACATCTCATGTTCCTTATTATTAAAGTGCATTTCATGAATGTCATCTTACTCTTTGTTGCAATTTTCTGGGCAGATTAGCAAACTGGGTGGCCATCATTTCTTCTAACTGGCTCAAGCCTCCAACTGAAAACCCGGTCATCAAAATCTTACGATGTTTGTACGATGTTGTTGGGAAACAAAAGCACAGGTAATTTTCACACACATTTATTTGATAGTATCATTAACGTATTTAAGAGAAAATCAGGTGAAAGAATTATTAACAAGTACAATAATTAATTTGAGATCAAGTACATGCTAACTGTAAAACTGGTTTCCAAATCCAGTTTCAAAAATTGTGTATTGCTTTAGTGATACATCATTCTGTAAATGAAAAAAAAAATGAACAAAGTTTATATCATCTGAACAAAATGACAACGTCGATGCAATAGGAGAATAATAAACAACAGTTTAACTGATGCTTTAATTCCTTGGGGGTGGGGCGCACAAAATGACCAACATGTCCATTTTATGGATATCTTTTTGAAAGACACGTATATATTTAGCTCACCTGGCACGAAGTGCCAAGTGAGCTTATGCCGTGGTGCGGCGTCCGTCGTCCGTCCGTCCGTCCGTCCGTCGTCCGTCCATCGTCCGGCGTCAATATTTTACTTTAAACGACTTCTTCTTAATAACCGAAAGGCCTAGGGTGATGATATTTGGCCAGAAGCAAACTGGGATGAAGGGCTACCAAGTTTGTTCAAATAAATGACCTTCATCTATTTTCAAGGTCACAGGGGTCAAATATGTTAAAAACTTTAAACAACTTCTTCTCAATAACCAAACTGCCCAGGGAGATGATATTTGGTCAGTAGCATGCTAGGGTGAAGGGCTAC